TGGTTTTCTATCTTTATCAGACGAGCATTTTAAGACATAATCTTTTACTCAAGATAGGAAGTTTGGGTAGCCTAGAGGTCAGAGAAGAGCTTTTGAACTTCCCATAACTTGGTGGAAAACAGTGACTGCTGAAAATAGGGTAATGAGAAAGACAAGACATTTTCCTTTCTATATTCAAGTTGAGGTTAGCCTAAATATATTTCTGCATCTACTCAGATACCATGGTGACAGGCATCATATAAATAGACATGGCAGCAGGGAGTAGGTCAGGGATTACATCTGTAAAACCAACTTATTAGGCAGGATTAAAGCCCCAACTAACATAGCTGCCAGATGAACTATGGATGGAGGTTCATGACATTGTACAGAAAACAGGGAGCAAGACCATTCCCAAGAAAAAGAAATGCAAAAAGGCAAAATGGCTGTCTGAGGAAGCCTTACAAATAGCTGTGAAAAGAAGAGAAGCAAAAAGCAAAGGAGAAAAGGAAAGATATAAGCATCTGAATGCAGAGTTCCAAAGAATAGCAAGGAGAGATAAGAAAGCCTTCCTCGGTGATCAATGCAAAGAAATAGAGGAAAACAACAGAATAAGAAAGACAAGAGATCTCTTCAAGAAAATTAGAGATACCAAGGGAACATTTCATGCAAAGATGGGCTCAATAAAGGACAGAAATGGTATGGACCTAACAGAAGCAGAAGATATTAAGAAGAGGTGGCAAGAATACACAGAAGAACTCTACAGAAAAGATCTTCACAACCCAGATCATCACGATGGTGTGACCACCCACCTAGAGCCAGACATCCTGGAATGTGAAGTCAAGTGGGCCTTAGGAAGCATCACTACTAACAAAGCTAGTAGAGGTGATGGAATTCCAGTTGAGCTATTTCAAATCCTAAAAGATGATGCTGTGAAAGTGCTGCACTCAATATATCAGCAAATTGGAAAACTCAGCAGTGGCCACAGGACTGGAAAAGGTCAGTTTTCATTCCAATCCCAAAGAAAGGCAATGCCAAAGAATGCTCAAACTTCCACACAATTGCACTCATCTCACACTAGTAAAGTAGTACTCAAAATTCTCCACGGCAGGCTTCAGCAATATGTGAACCGTGAACTCCCAGATGTTCAAGCTGGTTTTAGAAAAGGCAGATGAACCAGAGATCAAATTGCCAACATCCGCTGGATCATCGAAAAAGCAAGAGAGTGTCAGAAAATCATCTATTTCTGCTTTATTGACTATGCCAAAGCCTTTGACTCTGTGGATCACAATAAACTGTGGAAAATTCTGAAGGAGATGGGAATACCAGACTACCTGACCTGCCCCTTGAGAAACCTGTATGCAGGTCAGGAAGCAACAGTTAGAACTGGACATGAAACAACAGACTGGTTCCAAACAGGAAAAGGAGTACGTCAAGGCTATATATTGTCACCCTGCTTATTTAACTTATATGCAGAGTACATCATGAGAAACGCTGGGCTGGAGGAAGCACAAGCTGGAATCAAGATTGCCGGGAGAAACATCAATAACCTCAGATATGCAGATGACACCACCCTTATGGCAGAAAGTGAAGAGGAACGAAAAAGCCTCTTGATGAAAGTGAAAGAGGAGAGTGAAAAAGTTGGCTTAAAGCTCAACATTCAGAAAACTAAGATCATGGCATCTGGTCCCATCACTTCATGGCAAATAGATGGGGAAACAGTGAAAACAGTGGCTGACTTTATTTTGGGGGGCTCCAAAATCCCTGCAGATGGTGGTTGCAGCCATGAAATTAAAAGACGCTTACTCCTTGGAAGGAAAGTTAAGACCAACCTAGATAGCATATTAAAAAGCAGAGACATTACTTTGCCAACAAAGGTTCATCTAGTCAAAAATAAGGCTCTTCCAATAGTCATGTATGGATGTGAGAGTTGGACTATAAAGAAAGTTGAGCACAGAAGAATTGATGCTTTTGAACTACGGTGTTGGAGAAGACTCTTGAGAGTCCCCTGGACTGCAAGGAGATCCAGCTAGTCCATCCTAAAGGAGATCAGTCCTGGGTGTTCATTGGAAGGACTGATGTTGAAGCTGAAACTCCAATACTTTGGCCACTTGATGTGAAGAGCTGACTCAGTTGAAAAGACCCTGATGCTAGGGAAGATTGAGGGCAGGAGGAGAAGGGGACGACAGTGGATGAGATGGCTGAATGGCATCACTGACTCAGTGGACATGGGTTTGGGTGAACTCCACGAGTTGGTGATAGACAGGGAGGCCTGGCATCCTGCCATTCATGGGGTCACAAAGAGTCAGACACGACTGAGCAACTGAACTGAACTGAATGTAGCTGGCTCCTCCTTATCATAAAACCAAACCTGAAAATTCCATATAGGAATTTGGAGGGGGATCCCTGGCTACTTCCCCAAAAAGAAAGAGGTAGTCAAACAGTATAAGAATAAAAATAACCACTCAAAGTGCAGTGAGACTAAACACTCTCATTCCAAATAATAAAAGGCATTTGCCATCCATGCTTCCTGGGCAGCTGAGGTCTCTCATGTGTCTGACCTAACAACACATGCCTTACCAGTTTTATTTGTAAGTAAAATTCAACTAAAGTTTGCAGTACATGTATGGGCAAGCATCTGTACTTAAGCATATTTGCCATGATGAGTTTCACATATCTCCCTCAAATCTATATATCTAGAAGGCAAAGAAAGAATGAAAACATGGGCAAACCGACATATGAGGGGTATTACCAGCCAAGGAGTGGGTGGATCCACCATAGACACATTTATATTCACTGATTACAATATTATACATTATTATGGGCTCTGATGCATCAGATGTAGTCTAGTATTTTGCAGCTTTCCTTAACACCTGCTGCTCTGCATCTCACTGTATATACTCCATGTATGAACACAGGGAGTCAGGTTACAGGAGGGCTCACCCAGTCTACATAGAAAGGAGCTAACCTCACCTGGCAGAGAACTCCAGTACAAATGCCTATGCCTGGAACAAGCAGCCATCCAAGCCTCATGAATGACACTCATATACACCTCCTCTCAACCTATCAAGGGCCTTAGCATGCCAATCAGTCCTGAGATAGCAAATAATTATACAAAGAGTTAAACATGATATAAAGCACCCAAAGAAATAAAGTCAATACAGGATAAAGAATGGTCTCTTGCTTCACAGTTTCTCACTGGAATAGGGAAAGCTAAGATCCAGAAAAGATACATATAAAAGATACTTTTTAAATCTCTTTAAAAGATAATTGCCTCTTTAAATAAAAATGATGGAAATGTATTTTGGGGTTTATAAAATATATAAAAGTTAAACATATGACAACAACAGCACAAAGGGCAGAATGCAAGGGAGTAAGAGAATAAATGGAACCCTAGGACCGAGGAAGACAGACGAGGGTGAACAGGAGAAGGCAATGAAAAAGACAACAGAAGAGAAGAAATGAGGAAGCGGACAACTGATGACAAGGATAGGAGAAAAGCCAGAGAGCTCCTAGAGGCAAGAGAAAGGATAGCTAGGAGAGAAAGTAAAGGTGATAGTATAAAAGAGAAAATAAAAACAGAAGAGAATCAAAAGCAGGCAAAAATAACTACTACCATCAACTCTTTAGTACTACAATGTGTAACTTCATCCCAGTTACAGACATAAGCCATTTGTTCTTGTTACACTAATGTCCACAGATTTGCATCCTTTTTGTGTTTTCTCTTTAATTCTAAATTTTTAAATTAACCATACAACTAATTAATTATACAACAAATGCACAGGCAACCAAATAGTCCTTTATATGAGAAAGAATTATTCCAACCTAAGAAATTCAAACTTTAGTCATTTCAATCTCTTGATCTCTCTTTACCTTTTCTAACATTCTCTCAATTTTCAACTCTCACATAATCACACTCTTTCTCCTAAAATATCAAAATGCCACTGTTGCCATTAGTGTTATTATCCTACTCCCCCTTCAACACCATAGGCAGCAACTGCAAAGAAGTTGCTAATCCATTAATTAAAGATCTCTACTTCCCATTATGAAGGACTAAATTTAGAAAGCCAAATTGGGTTGGTAGGAAACCATGTGTCACAACAAGCAAGATGAATTCCATAGGAGGGGGTGGGGTTACTGGCCTGCTTCTGCTTTCTCACAAAGCCTCCCATATTCACACACACACTTCTCTGCTCAGAATACAGAGAAGCTCTCCCAAGGGTGGGGCAACAATTTACCACTATAATCATCTGGAGAAGATTTTATTGTACTATCAGGTCACAAAAGCCACAGGACCTATCAGCAAGCAAATGCCTCAGGAAACATGTCTCCTCTGCTTTTCTGAAACCTCCAATTTAGATGCACAAAAGAAAGGGGTGTCAAGCCAATATTAATTGTACCCTTAGAGAAGAGCCACTCTTTTCCCCAACAGGGGTGGCAGTAACTTTACTGGGCTACCAAATGTATACAAAGACAAAAGTAAACACTGTAATTTGATGTTTTTATCTCTGGCACAAGGGGAGTGGTAAAACTGACACTGTCTGTAAACAGTAATAATGCCAGATGTAACACAAAGAACAGGGTGTCCCCCCATCTCTCCACCCCCTCTCAACCCCCTCTCCCTAAGACATTCCTCCTGAGATTACTCATCCCCAGGAAACACACAGAAGCCTCCCTATAGTCCATATGCTGTTACCGAATAGAACCAAGAGAGAATCCAAGTTTGTACTGACTTCTCAATGGAAGAATCAATGGAACTCAAGAAATATTTAATTGTTTCTGCCAGCTGACAAAAAAATACAGGGAGAAGGAACAAGACAGAAAGTATAAAATAGATATATAGGTGATATGCCCAGGTTTGGATTATAACAAGGCTGAAATGACAAAAAGAAGAGTTGAAAATACAAGCATCCTAAACAAACTAAAACATTTGTTTCATTGTTTGTTTTAAATTCATCTATGCCCAGGCACAGAGGCTCATAAAACATATAGGAAAAGATGATGAATTCAAAAGAGAAAGTTACCTGACCAGAGTTCCCGCCAGGTATAATGCAGGCGTACTCTACACTTCTTCTGATAGCAAAGTAGTTTATGTACTACCTGAATGCAGCGCCTGGAACAGAAAAAGAGAAAAATTGGAATAAGTCTAAAGTTATGGTGCAACTCACCACAGATACCCTTTCTTTAACAAGGCAACTTTTACTAAGACCACAAAAAACACTGGATATGAATCTGTATACATGGGAAAGAAAGGAACTTCTGCAACTTTCTGGTGGATAAAAACCCCACCCCCAAACACACACAATGTAACTTGTGCTAACTCCCCTATCTCTAGAAAAAGGGAGTTATAACCACATCTAAGTCAGTATGCAATTAGGCACTACTTTTACCATTCCCTTGAGTATCTTTCCTCAGAGGAAGAATGCACCATGAACCAAAATGAGACTACATTTGAAACTGCAAACATGGGATGCAAAGATGTAAAATTAAAGAACTTAAGACTTTAGATCTATTTAAATATGTTTTTAATGTAAATAAGATTTTAAATAATATTTAAATTTTGATTTACATTAAAGGTTAAATTAACAATTCAGTTCTTCAGTTGCACTAACCAAGTACTCAGAAGTCATGTGTGCCTAGTGGCTACCATATTGGACAACACAGAAAAACAGAACATTTTTATAATCACAAAAATTATACTGACAGTGCTATTCTAGATCACTGGACTATTAAACATTATTCACATCCCAACAACAAAAATGCTTTTGAGAATATTTCCAAGTAAACTGAAAAATGAAAGACATTTTTTAAACATTGTAAACCTAACCAAAAAAATGTCCTTTCATCTCTGACTGGGGAAGAATTTTGAAAGCTTAAAAAGCTATGAGTGAATGTATAAAGGAAAATATTGATAAAATTTACTTCCTAAAAATAAAAATCTTGGGACTTCCCTGGTGGTCCAGTGGTTAAGAATCCATCTGCCAATGCAGGGGACATAGGTTCGATCCCTGGTTGGGGAACTAAGATCCCACATGCTGTGGCACAACTAAGCCCACGGGCCATAATTACTGAGCCCACACACCACAACTAGAGAGGAACGCAACAAAAGCTTCTGCAGAAATGCTTCGCATGATGCAACGAAGATTCCACGTACCGCAACTAAGACCCAACTGCAGCCAAAATAAATAATTTTTTTTAAAAAGCCTTTAAAATAAATTTGAAAAAATAAAAATCTCAATTAAAAAAATTGTAATGATTAAAATTAAAAGCCAAATATGGGAAATTACATTTGCAACAAATGGCATGAAATGGTTACTATGCTTAATACATATGAGTTTATATAAATCGATAAGAAAAAATAACAACACACCTAATAAGATGGGCAAAGGAAATGGACAACAAATCCCTCCATCCCCAAAAAGAGGAAAAATATGGAAAGTTAACCTTTTCCTATAATGTTCAATTTCACCTTAAAAAGGTACATTAAAACAAGATTCTGGGTTCTTTTTTTGGGGGTTGGGGGCACACTGTGTGGCTGAGGGCTCTTAGCTCCCCAACCAGGGCTAGAGCCCGTGCCCCCTAGAGTGCAAGTGTGGAATCTTAACCTACTGACTGGCAGGGAACTCCCCAACAAGGTTCTATTTTTGCAAACCAAATTAATACAGATTTTAATGCTGACAGCTAAAGGTATGAACAACCCAAATGTCTATCAACTAATTAATGGATAAATGAATGATGCTGTACACTCAAACAATGGAATATTACTTGGCCATAAAAAAGGAACACAGTAACATGGATAAAATCCTGGAAATATGCTAAGTAAACGGTCAGACATAAAAGATCACATAATATATAATTTCATTTACATAAAATGCCCAAAATAGGCAGATATAGAGACGAAAGTAGAAAAAGTAGATTGGGGGTGGGAGGAAAGAGGCCCAAGTCTTGGTCTATATTGCTTTGAAGCTCCAAGCTCATCACACAAACAAAAGATTCACAGGAAACCATCAGACCTATCTTCATTCATTCCATAAATACTGACTGCAAACCAAATGAAGATCTAGCACTTAAGTCTTACCAAAACTAAACTGTCAAGTTCCTGGAAATTAGATCTAGATAGTCTGCTAGTTTTAGGCAAATAAAGAGGCTCTTTCTCCCAAAACTCTTCTGACACCAAAGAATGAAGCAAAGAAAACAGAAATAAGCAAGGCAAAAGGGTGCAGCAAAAAGTGGCTTCCCCACACCTAATATGCCGCAGTTGAAATTCAGCTGAAAGACAATACTTCTAGAGGTGAGAGTAAGACTCTCTCAGGTTCTGGGGTTTTAATATGAGATGGAGTATCCTGAGATCCTACTAACTTCAGCAGACATCGTATCAATATGTAGGATATCAATCCTACAGCTCATGAAATCAAGCAAAAATGGTGACAGCTAATTTTCTGGGCCTCTTAGCAGAGGGCAAAAGAAAAAGGGGGGGAGAAAAAAACCTGACCACTACCAACAGCAGCAACAAAAACACGACAAACTTCCCTCTGTAGAGTGAGACACAAGGACATTAAAGTACCTGACAACACATCAAAGACACAAATGAAGAGAAATAAACTTGTAAGTTAAAAGTCCTGCAAGTTTTCAAAATAATTCCAATAATGGAATGGGCCTGCTACCTCACTAGCCTATTCTACATGCCTCATTATTCACATCTCTCTGTTCTTTCCATTCTTCATAGTTCTAAGTGGTCTTACAGGAGACTTTCAGATAGAATTTTATAAGAGAACTATGTGACAGAGATCTCTCTTAAAAGACTTCAGTATATATTAAAAATATTTTACAAACCAGACAGAAATATAAATATATAAATACATACAACAAAACTTTTAAATAATTCCCTTTTATTCTCTAAAAAGAATATAGAGAATATAGGATGGTGGCTCAGACGGAAAAGAATCTGCCTGCAATGCAGGAGACCCAGGTTCAATCCCTGGGTTGGGAAGATCCCCAGGAGAAGGAAATGAATGGCAACCCACTCCAATATTCTTGCCTGGAGAATTTCATGGAACAGAGAAGCCCAATGGGGTCGCAAAGAGTCGGACATGACTGAGTGATTAACACTTATTCTCTAAATAAACTGTATCAAAACCACTTACAAAGTGATACAAATTGTAGTGTAAATATTCCTAATACTTTCCAAACCATTTGCTGATTTTTAGAAATTGTGGTGTGATCGTCCATGTGATGCAGCTATCAGTAGCTACAGGATGCCCTCGTTTGAGCCATGATTTAACTTAGGAAAATACAAACTATTCTATCAATTTGCCATTAAACTGATAGTCATTAGGTCCCTCCCTGGGGCTGAAACCAGCGCTGCAGCCAGCAAGGGTAGCTGGCCACTGCCCATGCATGACCACCCCCACAGAACATTCCTGGACACCAGGACTTCTCATGCGTCCTAAATCTGGACGCTGCACCGTGTCTCTGTTGACAACATCATCCCAGCACTGAGCCACTATGGAGCAGCAATGAGACACGACCTGTGTCACCACACTCTGGAGCCAGCCCCCTCTGGTTCAAAGGCTTTTTATATCCACTCCAGGCTCCGTTCCTTTTCCTGCAGCCACCCAACAAGGGACATCATTTGCCTTGTGGTCTCAGTAACTTATATTACTTACCAAACAGAATGAAAATTTTAAAACCTGTTATGATCTCAAAGATATGCTGGCTGAATGACTCCAAACTGACAGTTTAGGGCATTTCTTTTATACATGTAGCAGTTTCCTATTTCAACACAAGACAGTTCCACTTTAACTTGAAACTCTTCTTGTGGGGTCTACTGAAGTCTCTACCCACAGGTCTGAGAATTCCTGATTTAGAAAGAGTCCAAGTTTTCCACATACGAGTAATTTAAAGCAGAGTTTTCTCTCCTCAGAGACCATTTCCCCTAACTCCCAATCCTGTGCCAGCAGTAGGGGTTGGCAGCAAGAATCAAAGAGTAGCAGCCAGAAGAGGAAATTAATTGGTTGGGTTTTCCTACCTCCTAATGTTCCAGGCAAAACTTTCTTTTTTTTTTTTTTTTTGTATAAGCACCTTTCTCCATTATTACTTTACCTACAGCATTCACACACAGATATGAAACTGTTTCTGACCCAGATTCTGGCTTGAGTATTAAGTCTTTCCATATTCTGTACTGCTTCATATTTCACCAGGAGGATTACAAACTTATCTGAAATGGTAGAAATTCATTTTACTTTCAATTTCTTATTTTGCTGTATGCTGCTGAAAAGCAGTATATAATGATAAGTGAGAGCAGCAACTTGGCCTGAATCCCAGCTGGGAGCAGATAAGTTCACCTAAAAAGGACCTGACGCTCCAAATGCCAGAAACTGGAAAGAGGGCTGGAAGTTGAGGAGGCAGATATGGAAATATGCCCAGGGGTAGTAATGGAGAAAGTGAATTCAGCCTGAGGGTGGAACCTTCTGCCCAGCCTCTGTCATCTTGATGCCTCATTATCTTCTCCATCTTCCTTAACCTCAGGACATCCAATATGGAAGCAGGTGGAAAAGGAACTGAGAAAGCAAAGCAAAGTAAAAAAAAAAAGGCAGGAACCAGGGGGAAGAGGGAAGATCAGGTTCACTGGCTGGGATGTGAGGGTTTGGTAGACAGATAGGTATCTATAACTCTAAGTGCTGAGCACAGTCTAATCATGTCATCCCCACCTTCAACTGTTACCCATCATCCATTTATTTCAGGTAATACTTTTTCTACCCTCTTGGCCTTCCTCCATGCACCCTATATGCTAATCCTTTTGAATTTCTTTTTATTCTCCAAAGTAGGCCACACTATCAAGTCCCCAAGCTTTTGAACATGCTAGTCCCCTGCTTGGGAGGTTGCTCCTCACTCCTCTGTATACAAAATTGCCTACTATTTCTTCATGACTCAGGTCAAGCGCAGCCTTCTCTGATGCCCCAGTGAGCATTAGTCACCCTATACAAATCTTTTCTTTGTCATTTATCATAGTGGTAATTAAGAAAGAGTACAGCCTCTTTCCTAAGACAGACTTGAGCTTGAATCTTGGTGATGCAACATACATATGCAACTGTGGTAGCCAGCCCACAAGATGGCCCCCAATGGTCCCCACCTCCGGGGATTCACATCCTTATGGAGTCCCTTCCAACACTGCATTAGGCTTGGTCTGTGAGACCAATAGAAATGGTATGTCGTCTGAGATTAGGTTATAAAAGGCCCCATGGTTTCCATCTTGGGCTCTCACTCTCCTTTTCTTTCTCTCTTGTATTACTTGCTTTGGAGAAAGTCAGCTGTCATGTCAAACAACCCACGTGGCTAGGAACTGAGATATACCAACAACCACGTAAGTGAGCTTTGAAGCAATTCTCCAGCCCCAGTAGAGCCGCAGGAAAGCTAACATATTGACTGAGGCCCATATCAAACCCTATGCTGAAAGCTGCTACTGGATCGCTGAGCCACAGAAACTGTGAAGCAATAAATGCCTGCTTTAAACCCTATGTTTTGGAGTAGTTTGTTACACAGCAATAGATAATACACCTGACAAGGGGTGGGAACAACTTAGGATGTACTGTAAGAAAACTTGGGTTCAAGTCCAGACACTGGTGCTTACTAACAGAATAATCCAACCTTCAGTTGAATTAGAGTGGATTACGAACCCTCAGCTTCCTTCCTTGGAAAATGAGTAAACTAAGACTATAGTAATATATTACAAAAAAAAGAAATATACTCTATCCTAGAACTAGAACATAAGATAAATAAGCTAAAAATAAAGCCTGTAGCAAAACAAATATAATCCCTGAAGTACTGATGTTCAGCAATCCCATCTAAAATAAGCAGAAAATTCATCTGGTAAGTGTTTGGTTTTTTTTTTTTGATAAGTGTTTAAAAAAAGAGCTTTTCATGGTCTTTAAATTGCAATAAGGGGCTTCCCTGATAACTCAGTTGTTAAGGAATCTGCCCGCAGTGCATGAAATAAAGGGTCAAACTAATTTTAAACAACCAAAAGATACAGAAAAATGCAAACCAGAAACTACTTATCTAAAAGTAAAATTTGTATCTTATTTCATACCTAGGAATTAAGAATACGTAGCCTACAAATAGTCTAAAAACTAGAGATCTTCCATTCATAGTAAAATCCTTCATATCTTCCCAGATCCCAGGCTCAGCATTGGAATGAGGTACACTAAGCTTGCTGTGCACCAAACTTTTCTCTTACTTGGGAAAAAGTGGAGGTACTAATTCTGTTGTCAGACTGAATCCAGATGCATTTTAAGGAATAAAGATAATACATATACTTGAGATCACACTAATATGGCACAGTTGTTCCTAGACATTAATAAAAAGAAGAATGCTGAAATAGCAAAGAAGTGAGAAAGCCTAAAGGCTTAAACTTTATTAAAATATGAAGACTTTCAGTTGTTTCTAGTTATACTAGCTGTAAAGAATTGTGACAGACAACCAGATCCCCTCGGGAGGCAGGAGACTCTCAGCCAGGCCACTATATATACACAATCTAACTAGCTAGTGGAGTTCTGACTAGGTTGCTAGTACAACGTAGGCTAAGAATGAACCAAAAGACCTCTCTCTCTCTGGCCTTTCCCTACCTTCTAAATACTGCTGACTCCTTTGATGCCAAGGTCTAGGGATGACTAAGTGGGTTGCTGGTATTCCATATCTTTGGATACAAGAGTCACCCATGATCTCTGCTTCAACATAGCAGCCCTATTCTTCATGCAGTGTGCCTAAAAGTGATAATGAAGATATGTGGTTTGTGCTTTCCCCTCTTTCTGGAAAAATGTATAAACCCAGGCCATAAAACACTCCCTGACACTTCTCTGCATATACATGTGCTTTTCCTGAAGTGAAGTATACATAAAAATTTTGTGACTATTAAACTTCTTACACTCAATTCTATAAAATAGATTTGCACACATTAAATGAACCATGGTACTTACACATAGAGATCCATAGGAAACTCCTTCATCATGTGTGTTACAATAAACTCCACCATCAGGTCTGAATGGGAAAAAGAAAAATCAGATCAATCAGAATGAAATTCACTGCTTGCCTTTGGAGTTGGGAGAAAAACTTTATCAGTACACCTTACAACCATGCTGAATGGCATCAACTAACCACATCTTTATCAATATGCATTTAAATCTATTTTATATAAGGCACTTTTTGCAACACTCTCACCACCTGCCACTTGTAAGGTAACAAAAAAATTAGTTCACTCTCCCACTTCAGAAGGATACGTTGACCTGCCAATAAACTCAGATATAAGGGAAATTTCACTGTACAGATATTTCATACCATGGCACTAATGCAAAATGCCAAAGGGAAATCATATTCTGAGAACCAAGTGATGAGGCAAGCAGAGAAAAAATTATGGATCTGCCAAAGAATGTTCAAACTACTGCACAATTGAATTCATCTCACATGCTAGTAAAGTAATGCTCAAAATTCTCCAAGCCAGGCTTCCACAATACATGAACCATGAAATTCCAGATGTTCAATCTGGTTTTAGAAAAGGCAGAGGAACCAGAGATCAAATTGCCAACATCCACTGGATCATCAGAAAAGCAAGAGTTCCAGAAAAAACATCTATTTCTGCTTTATTGACTATGCCAAAGCCTTAGACTGTGTGGATTACAATAAACTGCAGAAAATTCTGAAAGAGATGGGAATACCAGACCACCTGACCTGCCTCTTGAGAAACCTGTAAGCAAGTCAGGAAGCAACAGTTTGAACTGGACATGGAACAACAGACTGGTTCCAAACAGGAATGGACGTACATCAAGGATGTATATTGTCACCCTGCTTATTTAACTTATATGCAGAGTACATCATGAGAAACACTGGGCTGGAAGAAACACAAGATGGAATCAAGATTGCTGGGAGAAATATCAATAACCTCAGATATGCAGATGACACCACCCTTATGGCAGAAAGTGAAGAAGAACTAAAGAGCCTCTTGATGAAAGTGAAAGAGGAGAGTAGAAATGTTGGCTTAAACTCAACATTCAGAAAACTAAGGTCATGGCATCCAGTCCCATCACTTTCTGGCAAATAGATGGGCAAACAGTGGAAGCAGTGGCTGACTCTATTTTGAGGGGCTCCAAAATCACTGCAGATGGTGACTGCAGCCATGAAATAAAAAGACGCTTACTCCTTGGAAGGAACGTTATGGCCAATGTGCATATTAAAAAGCAGAGACATTACTTTGTGAACAAAGGTCTGTCTAGTCAAGGCTATGGTTTTTCCAGTAGTCATGTATGGATGTGAGAGTAGGACTATAAAGAAAGCTGGGTGCAGAAGAATCGATGCTTTTGAACTGTGGTGTTGGAGAAGACTCTTGAGGGTCCCTAGGACTGCAAGGAGAGCCAACCAGTCCATCCTAAAGGAAATCAGTCCTGGGTGTTCATTGGAAAGATTGATGTTGAAGCTGAAACTCCAATACTTTGGTCACCTGATGTGATGAGCCGACTTATTTGAAAAGACCTTGATGCTGGGAGGGATTGGGGGCAGGAGGAGAAGGGGATGTCAGACGATGAGATGGTTGGATATCATCACCGACTCAATGGACATGGGTTTGGGTGGACTCCGGGAGTTGATGATGGACAGGGAGGCCTGGCTTGCTGTGGTTCATGGGGTGGCAGAGAGTCAGACACGACTGAGTGACTGAACTGAATAGAACTCTTATACTGGAAGAGATTGGATTCTTCTGTTGAACTATGAAGAAATTCAGTAAGTACAACAGAAGCAGGCTCACAGACATAGAAAGCAAACTTGCGGTTACCAAAGGGGAATGATGGAGAAGGATAAATTAAGAGTTTGGGATTAATACCTATACACCAATAGGTGTATAGTAGATAATCTACATGGACCTATGGTATAGCACAGGGAACTTTACTCAGCACTCTGTAATAACCTATATGGGGAAAGAATCTGAAAAAAGAGTGGATATATGTATAACTGAATCACTTTGCTGTACCCCTGAAAGTAATAACAGTATTTTAAATCAAGTATACTCCAATATAAAATAAAATTTTAAAAAGTGCAATAAGTAAAAAAAAAAAATTATGGATCACAGCTGTGTAACCAGAGACTCACACTCTAAAGCTATGCCAGTCTTTCTTGTCTTCCTATCACACTCAGCTTGACAGATATTGACCAAAATGGTCTGGGGAGGTTTAGGTCAATAAAGGCTTACTATATAGTCTTAATTATTGTTTTTAAAATCAAGTAGATTTAGGAAGCAGGGCTGAATATTATAGCGAAATGGGATTAAGAGTTCAGATCATTCCCCTGAGGAAAATGCAGAATTCTGGACAGACAAAATTACTTGCAATACAGCCCCCTATCTGTCAGCTCCTCAGCCTCCTCTCAGCTTCAGTTACTCAGAGGAAGCTTTGTATGTCTAAACCTTGAACTTTCACCTCCTGGCCCACTGACACATCAATGTGGGCCAAGAAATGGAGGGAAGAATTTGAGAGTTTTATCAAGTGTAAGAAAGTTTACAAATTTATGTATCAAGCTTAGACATTTGTCTCCCTAGAAAGAACTTTTTCTTTGAACAAGGGTACTCTTTAATTGAACATTAAAGTCATTGGGATTGTTTACCAAACTCAACAAGAAACATGGTTTCTTAGGTCAGGGAAGAAATACAACTAGTAACTTCTTCTCTGAGGAGGAAGCACATCCAACAGGACCTATCCCTTATCTTAAACATGAAAACCTACCACTGGCTCAGAAACATGCCCATTTTGATGATACTCACCCAGTACTGCACATACTAATGGACGGCAGGGAAGGTTCTTGTCTGCTGCCTTCTTCCTGTGTCTCATAGGCTTCACACAAATAAGAAATGAGATTATAAGACATCTGAACTAACATCCAGTGGTTCACCATCATTTTTTTTTTTCACGCAAATAACATCACTACTACTGGGAATTCCCTGGTGATCCAGTGATTAGGATTTTGCGCTTACAATGCTGGGGGCCCAGGTTCAATCCCTGGTCAAAGAACTAGGATCCCATAAAATGCATGGCCTGGTCAAAAGAAGAAACAACAATAATAAAATAAAACCACTACTACAGAGAAGCTACCTTTTCTTTCTCTTTCAAGTGGTGGGTGTTGGGTGAGGCAGGGAGGACATATAAGTGCTTCTCAGTTATCGATGCAGGCCTGGGACAAAAACACAGTTCACAGCAAGACCACAGCCCCACAGGGCACTGAAGCATACTGCAAGGGGAAAGCTATTGTTTTTGCTTTGATTTTATCTATACAAGTGACATTACTGACAACAAAAGAGATACACTAGTATTTTTCTTTGATAAAATAATAAGAAAAAGGGAGAACGTGGCTGTGTAGAGGCACCAACAGTAGCAGTACAAAAAAAAAAAGGAAAAGTTTTTTAAAGGAAGTTTTAAATATAAACCTCAAGGTGGTATTTCTGAACATACCTCCAAGTTTTAGGAAACTCCTTGATCCTTCATATTCTATTTCCCCCACCCCTCAGATGAATAAATCTAATAATAAGCAGAATCTAGCATCACCCAATCAAAGATCACAGCATATTCTGAAAACAAAAGGCTTAGGCCCATCTCCTTGTTGAAATCTACATTACTGATACATTCAATGTCAAGATATACCTTTTTGGGGTTTTTTGTTTGTTTGCTTATTTTTTGTTTGTTTTTGGCCATGCTGGGTGGCATGTGGGATCTTGGTTCCCCGACCAGGAATCAAACCCATGCCCCCTGCAGTGGAAGTGCAGAATCTTCACCACTGGGCCACCAGAGAAGTACCCTGATACATTCTATAACAATATTACTGCCATGGGTATGAGACTGTGGATCTTTCCACCCTCTATTGAGTAAGTAACACCTCCAAGACACACACACAAAATTCCAACAACAGGGATGTGTCTTCTGAACAGCAGTTAAGCAAGAGCCCTTGAGCGTAAATTTCCACCCACATCTGTTCTAGTAGGATCAATGTCATCATCTCCAATCCTGCCAACATAAAAAAATTCCTCTAAGAAGAAACAAGAAGTAAAAGCCATACCTACCATTCTATGTAAATTTACTCGAAAATTCATGTTGTCATCATGCAAAAATGCATTGGCATATTGATCCTAATAAAAATAAAAACACAGATAAGGAGGGAATGAGAGCTATAAACTCCTTTTATAATCTATCTATAATCTATACCCTTATTAAAGTTCAAGGATTTACAGGTCTTAAAAGAACTCCTTTCAAGCACCAGTTAAAGAGCTAACGGGAGAAGACTACAGCCTTTATGTCAAGTCCTACTTAAACCATGAGGTTTCACTTAAGTGTAATTTCCCAGTAGGTCTCTAACTGGTCAAAAATCTCAAAGCAAATTACAAACAATAAAAATTAAGGCACAGACACTTGAGACAAATGCTGAGAGGAATCTGTTTTCCTGTTCTCTCTTCCTTCCCATCTGCCCGAGGAGCACAGGGACTGCAGGTTACATGTGCAGTCTACACTTGAAGATCTGCGATTAAGAAGAAAGGTCTGCACTCTGCCGGGAACAGGCTTGGCACAGCAAGAGAAAACTGCTTACTAAGGCAGCATGGCAATAGGTAAGATCCTGTATATCCCTGGCTGTGCTGAAGACTGATGGAAAATCAAAAACCTCTCACCATGAATCAATAATAAACATCCCTTGGCTCTTTCCCAACACCTTTTCTGAAGATCTGACATGCCTACAAACTCCAATTCCTAGGAACTGCTACAATTTGTGAAAAACAACTCCTTTAATGATTTTCTTAGAAAGATTTTTGAAAAGCAATTACACCAGGCCCACTGCTAATAAGCCGCTCTTCTACAGCTACTCCTAACCTGGTGAAAAGTAGGTCAACTTTCCACAGCAAACATAAAAATGGAAAGACTGAGGGAGATCTCTGCTCCACACGGACCACACCTTAACTATTTTTCTTTGGAGAGAGAAGATCCAAATAAGGAGTAAGTGAAAGAGGAGATTGAAACCACAAATTCAGCTCTAAATTGACTCAATTTCTGCCAGACCTCTGTTGCCAACAAGATTTAAGGTGAGTTCAGGCCTAATTAATCCAGCCAAAAGTGACTCTTTCCAAAGCTCAATTTGCGTCTCTTCTTTATTTACCCTCTGGTTCTTGTTCTTCCTCAAACTACAATCAATCCAACTTTACTGTTTCCAGTGCCCATCCCTCAGCTTTTCTCTCCACCTCTCCCCACAGAAACCAGAGCTCCTTTTTTCATTTTGCTAAATGCAAAAGATTCAATGTAAATAGTTTTAAAGGGGCAGGACTGTTTTTTTTTCTGAAGAGGTGTAAGTCTCTTTAGAGTTCCAAACTCTTAAGAACTAAAATCTTCCAGTTCTCAATTATAGCAGTTATCATATGAATTCATTATGAAGTCATGCAATAAATACTAACTGACCCTCTACTACGTGCCAGACACTGAGAAAACACTGGCGAAGAAGACAAAGGACCTACTGGTGCTTACATTCCAGTGGAGGAGATAATATAAAGGGGGAAGATTTTCTCTCCTAAACTTTAGGTCCCTAAAAGTCAAGAGACAGGAACTGGAGAGCAGGGTAGAAAAGAGAGCATTTTGTAAGAGATTAGCTAATACCAGAAGGCTGGTGAGACCTACCTCTGCAATACATGTAAGGATAATCAGACAGAGTTTGCCACTGTGAAGCCGGTGCTCATCTGAAAAGAAAAAAAAAAATCCTTCTCTCTAAATCATCCAGACCATGTTTCTATAGAGAATAAAGATGTGTATCATCAAAAAGAACATTCATACTTTCTTTCCCCATAAAATTCATGAATAAAAATCAAGGTTTTACTAAAGTAATTCTTTTCTTCTAGACAAAAGAATTCCTCCATAAGATTTTTTTCTTAAGTGTTCCAACAGTATGACAGACAACTAAACATCTTCCTGAGAACCATTCAATTATTTTAACAGTCCCTAATACTGTGGCCCAAATCAGGGCCATGCCCTTTGTTTCCATATCGGCCTTTTGCTTCTGGACAGTCAGATCCATTCCTTTTCCAACTCCACCTCATCCACTAGTTAAAGCACCACCATCTTTACTCATCTACCACAAAATCTAGAAAATTTTTATAACTGTTCATAGCAAACTGGCAGCAGAACCAGAAAGAAATTAACTAGAAACTAGGGTCCAGCTCATGCTCTCCTTACAATGTGAACATTACTTACAACCAGGAAAGTTGGGAACTCTTGATCATTTTTCTTCCTGCCAAAGCTACTCACTCCACAAATATTTATTTATTACCGACTATGTGGTAGGCAGGGCTTCCCTGGTGGCTCAGTGGTAAAGAGTCCTCCTGTCAATGCAGGAGACGTGGGTTCCATCCCTGGCTCAGGAAGATTCCCTGGAGGAGGAAATGGCAACCCGCTCCAGTATTCTTGCCTGGAAAATTTCATGGACAGAGGAGCTTGGAGGACTACAGTCCATGAGGGTAACAAAGAGTCGGACATGACTGAGCATACACACATGTGGCAGGCACTATGCTGGGCAGTAGAGATATAGTATTGGACTAAAGAAAGGTCTGTGGCCTCCCAGAACTCACATTCTAGTTATTAAAAAAGAAAGCAACCTCAACAACAGGGCTCTAAGCCCACACAAAGGACCAGAAAGAGCTAACCCATCACTGCCAATTACCAGAACCATTAAAACTTTTTTGCTTTCCAGGATGTTTGTGGGTGAGGTGGTGAAGTGGAGGTAAAAAGAGGGTTACACCAGCATATCCAAAACAGAAAAATGGCTTATGTTGTTTCAAATTAGCTTTGATAGGACCCAGAGTAAAGTCCATTCTGGAGAGATACTATTAACAGATAACCATGCTGTGAAAGTTAGCTAATAGTACTCATCCTGACATTAACCTGTTACTTCCTCAAAGATGAAATCTATAAACCAAAACCTGACAGTTAGAAGGCATAAGGAGGGTCGTGGTCAAAGAAATATGAAATACATTTACCTCTCCTTAGCCATAGGCGGTGCAAAAGAGTAATGACGATGATCCTATCTGACATCCCAGTAGCCTACGGCAGAGCCCCTAAGCAGCCAGAAAAGAAATGCCTTGCTAACACAAAACCATATTTGTGAGACTCTTCTACCTACCCCTGGCCGCAGAGCTTCTCTGGTACTATCCTTCCCTTTCCTCAAATTTGTAGGACTCTTCTACCTACTCCTGGTCACAGAGTTCTCTGGCACTATCCTTCCCTTTCCCCAAAAAGCTGATAAGCAACTCTTGCAGAAAAGCCTGCAGCTCTCTCTCCACTTTAAAAAAACTGTTCCCGATTACAAAAATAAGGCATATTCCATTATTATTCATTTTTAAACTTCATAAAAGCACAAAAAAACAAGAACAATAAAAAATAAGTTTAAGGAGAAGGAAATGGCAACCCACTCCAGTATTCTTGCCTGGAGAATCCCATGGACGGAGGAGCCTGGTGGGCTACAGTCCACGGGGTCGCAAAGAGTCGGATATGACTGAGCGACTTCACTTTCACTTTCAACCCTCAGCTGAGAAGACTTTCAACTCTTGTGTTTGCTATTGATTGTTTTCTTGAGTTCTCAAAGACCTGTGACCATATTTTTTTTAAGTTGCCTGTTTTCTAATTGCATCACTTTACACACTGTTGTCTAATAATATGTGGTATTTAGAATGCCTTCTTAATTATTTTGAGCAGCCATTGCCTGTATTTTCTTAGCACCTCCTTGATTTTCTCACGTGATCTCATCTGACAGGGAAATGCAGCTTTTTTGTTTGCCCTCTCTGCATACTGGACCGTCTGAGTCAGTGTTCTAACTAATCCCTGATGGTCTCTGAGCTGCTGTTCTACCAGACTCAATAGTTATGTGCTTCAGGAATTTTTCGGTAGAATTGGTCCTATTAGGAGACTCTTGGTGTCACCTTTGTTATCTTAAAAGCTGGTCCCTTCGCTGAGGCTCTTAATTTTTTGAAAACTTGATTCTATTTCAGCTGAAAATTGGCAAGGCTATTTAAAAACTTGATGGAAGCCATTTAAGAAATTGAAAAGTAATCGCAAACAACATTGGGTAGTTGTGACTTTCAGTTCTGTATCAGTTGAACTTTTGTGCTCTTTTCCCTGTGTACATGGTGGTTCTATTTTTCTCCAATAAAACTTTTTATTTAAAAAAATAAAATAAAATAAAATATTAAAAAATAAATAAATAAAAAATAAGTTTAATCATACCAAAAATCAAAAACATTGGTCAATCAACTTTAGGCTCTGTATGCACAGATATATATTTCTAGTATTTTTATCTCTTGCATATCTTAAAGATTGAACAGATATTCCCTCAGGGTGAAAATACCCAAGGCAGAATAATAACCTCAGGAAAAAAAAACTTTGAAAGCACAGCCGAAATTAAGGCGATAATAAACACAAAATTCTGAATCACGGAGAGGAGAGAAATAGCTGGGGAAGGGACACATAAGGTAGCTTCGACATCATTAGTAATTTCTTAAGTTGACTGATAAGTTCACATGCATTCATTTTATTATTATACTTTTTAACCTATGCCATTTTATTATGCTTATTATAAACTATATAATCTAATTAGTAATAAATATTTAAAGTATTCTTATAGGCAGCACATGATATATAATAAAGAAGACAAAATAGTACTGGGGGGAGGGGAAGGAGGAGCAGAGCCAAGAAAAAGTTGCTTCTATCGCCACTAAAATAATAAGATCCTGTTAGCCAGGTCAGGGTCTTAATCAACAGGAAGGGAGCTGGGCCAATGAAGCCACACAAGTATCATTTTGAAATTAACTCTTCATCATACTTAACCATATTTAGGCTGCTGTATCCTACTATATTAAGGCTTCCTTTTAGCAAAGATCTAACCCAGCCAGAATTTACAGAAACAGACTGAGACCACTCATGCTGCAATTAATCTACCCTCAATTTTGCCTTCTATTTATTTTATGGATGGCACAGTGATCAGTACAATGAGGATTATATAACCATTAAAGCTAAAAGTGAGTTTCAAGGGCCTCAATTCACTGTGTTATATCAAGCAAAGCTAGAAATTTATTTTCAGGGTCACATCTATGCAGTTTTTTGCTTTCTGTGGTTGCTGCAGTATTTCCAGAAAAAGGGAGAGGTTACCGATTTCCAAAAAGGAGAAGCAACGGCCTCAGGAAACACTGATGCATGTATAACAGCACAATTATACTTAGTGCCACTTAAAAATAGTTAAAATGGTCAATTTTACATTATGTGTATTTTACAATAGATATATATACTAGAAATAAATAAATAAAATTGTAAACACTCATATAGATCCAGTTTAAAGAAAAAGCTAGGCTTAAAAAAAAAAAACCTTGAGATATATACTGAACAGAATTTTCTGGGTTTCTTCCCAATTTCTTCTTCTAGCCCAACTATTCCACTACCCTACCACCAGTTAAAAAAGATCACAGAAAAATCATCAACAGAGGAAGAACAAAATGACATCAAACTTTTCTAATACCTATTTCTCTCCCACTTCCGTTCTGCATTTCACGGATGAGGACTAACACTTCTATTTTAAGTGTTAAAGAACACAGTCCCTCTGAATCTCACCTCTTCCTACTGTACTCTGCACAACAGTCCTAATTCTCACTATGAGCTGATGTTTTCAATTCTTGTCCTCAAAAGGGAATTCCCTGAAACATGCTAATCCCCTCCTTCCCACACATAAGAGTTTGCATCTACTTACCAAAATCTATTTAGAAGACGTGCCAGTCTTTGTAGAGATCAATTTATTTTCTCTGTTCTATTTTGGAGCATTCCTGCTCCAGCTCCAGGTATTCCCAACACCATCTAATTGCCATCTGGCAGTGAGAAATTTTCCAGTAATCAGGACCATCACTTTGCAAGGAGGTCCCAACGGGTCATCTCCTACAAGTATTAATGCTGCTCCTTGATCAAGCTAAGCAGCTACCTACCACCTCCTGCTGCCTGAGCTCTCAAAGGAGAATGCCTTACCTTTGGTGTCTTGCATGACAATTGAGCTATACTTTAAGAAGGTTATCAGTAGATTACTGGTCTGTACATCTGCATCCAGTGGGAGTTCCACAGAACTTATAACTGGAATAGAACAGATAAAATGCATTCAGCCTGTAACATATTCCATTTAACACTTCTACCTATACAGACAACTTGCCAGCAGGCAAGGAAATCACAAAAGAATCTTTCTCCAAAACAGAGGAAAGACTGAGTGCTTATCATAACACTGTTATCTAGTCTTCCTAGGCCTCTAGAGCTCTTCCCACCCCCAAGATTAAGCCCAAAGTCCTTCTCGCCTATCTAAGAATGCCTGTCTAAAGGAAGAGTGCTTTTCTCCCAAAGTTCTAAGAAGGGTATTTTGATTCCACTGTCTAGTTCCAAGCAAATCAAAAGGGTTCAAGGCCCTTCTAAAAAGCACTTTAATTTGTACCTAAGTGAAAGAGCTGTATTGAATATAAATGAGCCTTGCTTTCATGAGTCTACTGCTTAAAATAAATGACAATTCATTCCTAATATGGAAAAATCTTTCTCAATTTTGAGAATAAGCCTTTAGGCTGGAAATACGCAAGATAGAAGGGGAAAAAGTGAAGACAGAAATACATTCAAATTCTACTTCTTAATCCCTTCCCCACAAAAGGGAACCTGAAGGAATACCACACTGAAAACAGGTGGACATTACTGACTGAGAACAGTTTTATATACATAATTGCTTGCTGGAGAAACTACCCCTGCTCACATTCTCTGCGCCACAGTAACAATGAACAACAAGGGACCAGACTAGGGCTGACCCACACAGGATAGCCTTAATACAGATCGCCAAGTTTCTAATACTTTAAATGAGATTTAGACATCTTGTTAAGTACTTTTACACTGTCTAAGACATAATATACAAAAAAAGGAAACTCATGATTGCCTAGAAAAACTACAGGATCTATAGTTTTCTGTCATATCTTCACCTATGAAGACTCAGCTGAGTTTGGGATATTATTCATAATATGTATTCGTAACCATAATGAATCCCTCTGAAGTTATTACGATGTATGCTGAGAACATTTATTAACAATGGGAAGCATTTGCATATTATGGATCCGTGATACAGAGCAAGCACAGCAAAAAGCCTTATGAGAAGAAATTAGTATTCCCAACCCTTGGCTGTTTTCCCACAGTTCAGCCCCCAAGAACTAATAAAAGACAAACATATTTTTATGTTGAAATACTAATATATCTTAAAATTCATGTTATGGATTAATGACTTGAGACAGTCATTTCAAACTACAGCCTATTCTGAAGCTCAGAGTCCATAATCCTTCCTTTGTCCAATACAAAGAGGCATTGGTCTGGTAAGTGGGACTTTTTTCCCCCCACTCAAACACAGAGATAACTAGAAAACTGCCTTACATAATATGCAGGAATATAGAAGTATATGTATTTTTAGTTTACAAGAAAATCCTCCCATGCCAAGGCTGAGTTGTCAAATGTCAAGTCTGAACTGAGAACAAATGTTTTAGCTAAACTGCTGACTTTTTAAAAATAATGGCAACAGGGACATACCTTTAAATATAACTAGGCCACTGAGCACCAGTTATGTTAAAAACTAATTAAAAAACCAAAACTTGAGGATAAGCTTATAAGACTTAGGACCCCTACAAAAAGGAAATGAGTTAGAAGAGAAGAAAAAGAAAAAAAAAAAAATAGAAGCAATATCAAAAGAATAAAATCCCTCACAAATTAAAATCTGCTTCCTGTATGGCAAAACCAATACAATGTTGTAAAGTGAAATAAATAAATAATTTAAATTTTTTAAAAAAAATTTTTTTTAAATAAAATCTGCTTCCTAAGAGTTATTCCTTCGTAACTCTTCCCAGCAGCCTTTGTCAAGGGAGATAGTCATTTGAAAGTGGGCTGACTCCAATCTTCCCACTAGAAAAAGTAAAACCTCACGGGTTGTAAGTAAGCAAGCACAAATCAAGTTGCATAATCAAGTATGTGGGTGGAAGTGTTCACAATGAATAGTTTGAAAGGCAGTTCTCTGAAGCATCCAAACCCCAACATCACGTGAAATCAGATATATAGATATAGACAAAGATATATATGCTATGTGAACCCAAACATGCACACATGCGTGCACACACACACAAGCCTTTTGATATCCATGGTAACCAGGAAGGATTCATCGTTAAAGAAAAAAAACAGTATTTCTGTTGGAATATTATTTGGTGACCAGAGTAAGCAGAGAACAAGCAGGCAATCCTATTACATGTTCCTTCTCATTAAGATACAGTTGTGCCCTGCTTTTCAAAAGCTCATTTTACAAAAGTCTCTTCGCTCCACAAAAAAAACTACCTTAGTACTTGTTTTCACTAATGCAAAGTCTAAAGACGGTTTTCACTTTTCAGAAAAAAGGCAGGGATTTCCCTGGTGGTCCGGGGGTAAGACTGTGCTCTCAATGCAGGGGACCCATTGATCACCAAATAAGAGTTCACATGCTGCAACAAAGACCTGGTGCAGCCAAAATAAACAAATGTTTTAAAAAAAAAGAAAAAAAGGCAAAATGGGGAGGGGCAGAATAGGTGTAGGGAATTAACAGGTACATACCAGTATATATACTATATAAGCTACAAGGATATATCACATATCACAGAGAATACAGCCTATGTTTTATAGTAACTATTTGTTGTTTAGTTACTCAATCGTGTCTGACTCTTTGTGACCCCATGGACTGTTGCCTATCCAGGCTCCTCTGCCCATGGGATTCTCTAGACAAGATTACTGGAGTGGGTTGCCATTTTCTTCTCCAATATAAATGGAGTATAATCTATAAAATTTGTGAACCACTATGCTGTATACCTGAAACTTATATAATATTGTAAATCAACTATACCACAATTTTTTAATTAATTAAAATTTTTTAAAAAGTCAAGTCAGGGAATTCCCTGAAGGTCCAGTGGTTAGGACTCTGGGCTCTCATAGCAGAGGGCCCAGGTTCAATCCCTAATTGGGAACTAAGATCTCACAAGCCATGTGGCCAAAAAAAAAGACAAGTGATAACAAGTATCAGTAAAGATGTGAAGAAAAGGGAACTCCTATGTACTGCTAATGGGACTGTAAATCAGTGTAACCACTAAGGAAAACTGTATAAAGGTTCCTCAAAAAATTAAAAACAGAACTACCATACGATCCAGCAATCCCACCTGTAGGTATATACACAAAGGAAATGAAAATAGGATATCAAAGAGATATTTTCACTCCCATGTTCATTACAGCATTATTCACAGTAGCCAAGATACTACAAACACTATATGGCATCATTTACATGTGGAATCTTAAAAAAACAAGTCAAGCTCATAGAAAGAGTAGAAAAGTGGTTGTCAGGGGTTAGGGGATGGATGAAATAGGGAGAGGTTGGTAAAAGGCCACAAACTTTCAGATTAGCAAAACTGAAGATCTAATGTAAAATATTAAAATGGTGACCATGTTGATAATACTATGTTGTATAGCTGAATTTGCTAAGAGAGTGGAACTTAAATGTTCTCATCCCCTACCAAAAAGAAAAAGAAAAATACATGCGGTAACGGATGTGTTAATAGATAGGGGCTTCGGCAGCACATACACTAAAATTGGAACGATACAGAGAAGATTAACATGGCCCCTGTGCAAGGATGACACGCAAATTCATGAAGCGTTCCATATTTAAAAAAAAAAAAAGATAGGGGGAGTTTTCTTACAATGTATATGCGTATCAACTCACCTCAATAAAGCTGAAAAAAATTTTTTTAAGTATACACATTCAACTTTATTTTCTCAAATTCAGGCAAAGAAAAGTAGAAAAAAAATCCTACCACCTATCAACAATTAGAAATGAAACTAACAAGAAACTAGAGTGATGGAGTGAGAAGAAAGAAAGAGAAAAGGCAAAAACTGAAAACCATGTTCAGCGTTTGTTTTGCAGCAAGTTTTAAGAGAGGCATCAGCATCCCCAGAAGTGAGACTGATACCACTCAATTCTTTCCCCACAAACTACACGCAGTATGTAAGAATCAAGCCACACAGTTTCAAGCCACCCAGTTCTGAACTGCGTTTGTGAGCATCTGTGCTTTATCTAAATTTACTCTCTGCATCCATTAGCAAGTTGCAACCTAAGATATTTGCTTCTTTGCTTTACACAATGCAATTTCAGCTTACAAAAGGTTGTGTAGGAAAGCTCTGCTTTCATAGAACAGGGGAAATCTGTATTTTGGAATTTGAGTATCAATTAACAACAGATCCAATTTGCTACCACAAACTTGAATATCAGTGGCACCTCCCAGTAATACTTTTGTACTAATACTGCTTGTACTACCTTGAAATGCTAATGCCATAGGTGTTATATCAAAGTTTAAAGGAGAAACAGCAAAGCAAAGATGGTCATGTCAAATATAGACAGTAGAGGGGCACAATTTTTTTACCTAAAATGAGTTCAATATTTGAGGCAAAACATTAAGTATTAATGAAGACTATTTTTAGGTTAAGTTATTCCCTCAAGTACACTCAGCTGACATTAGAACCAATTCAGGTGGACACAAAGTTTATTGGGCAAAATTCTTAATTTCTTTTCTATTACCCTTTTCATAACTTCCAGTGATAAGATTTATAAAGTAGAATTTTGTTGTTGTTATCTTTTAAAGGAGAGAAATCTTAAATACCCAGCAAATTCCCAATTATTACACACTTGTCATTTTCTAACTGGGTGTGCCTGGCAGACACGTAACAGTGAGCAAATTCCAAGTTCATTTTTACATTCATTTAGTCAACAAATATTTACTAAGCAGTAACCATGCCAGGCACTATGTTGGGCATTTAGTGGTGCACAAAACGGGCATGGTCCCAACACTGATCCATGCAAGGTTCTTCGTGTCAACTCTTACTAATCTTAGGCAAACCTCATACTTCCCTGGCCTCAATTCCCTCGTTTGTCAAATGATAACATGAGATGATTTTACCATTTTGCATTTATTTCAGTGAGATATTCATAAAATATCTCATCTGAGCCTCACAAGTACCCTGAGTTAAGACAGGCATCACTGATCTCTGAGGTCCCTTTTAAATCTAGCATTTCCATGATTCTACAACCATTCCCTAAGGAGGACAAGTTGGAGTTTCGTAGATTCTTATAGAGGAAAGCATTGATTATCTTTTCTTTAGAGTTTCACGAATCCTAAAGATAATTTCTTAAGCAAAAGAACTAACAGTTATGCTTTTTGTCAGAAAAAAAAAAGAAAAAACTACTACAGTCACCCCTAAAGATTCAAGATTGTATTAATCAAGAAAACAAAGGAGGTGATAGACTTACCATCAGAGGAGGGTGGTGTGGTCCCAAGTGGTGTGGCTGGGGTTGTTGGAGCAGGACTGACAGGGGTTGTCACCAAGCCCATTTCTGGATGACTCTGAAAGAGAACACAGATAAGGATAAGAAAAGAGAAGATTGCAGGAGTCCTCTGCATAACCTTTCTGGTATTCCTGGCCTCATAAACAGACAGAAACTCACTGAGGAGAGACTGCTTCTCCATTTCATTCCTATTAGTACCTGATTACTGTTGATGCTTGCTAAACTCTAATAAACTCTGCAGGCTAGTTTTCTTTAAGTAACTAAGTTCCCATTATGTAAGTTTACCTACAGAACCATATGAATAAAAAACTGGGATAAACAAATACACAGAAATATTCCACACACAGAAAAGGGCATTTTCAGTCCTATTATCTGATCAACTCAAAACCTATCTACAGACTATTCTGATGACCACATAAGTCAACTAATAAGTGAAGGTGAGCCAAAGGGATAACAGATACTACAAGAAGGGCTTTGCAGAGGGCAGCCCTCCTTGTTCCACCACAAAAAAGAGTGTGCGGGGTGGGAAGGTAGAAACATGGGCGGAGACATTCAATAGTGACCAAAAGAGATGACTCCTCTTTCCCTTACCTTCCTTAGCCATCCTTGCCACATCAGCTCTTGAGAATCAGGCTGAGTGGTGGCTACTCCCTTCTCACCAATAGTTTTACCAGATTTTACCCTCCTCACTTTTTCCTTTAAAATCAATTACAGAATCTGGAGAGCTAACAAGGAACATCATGAGAATCATGGATAAAGCCTCATGTGATCAGTCGTGAAAAATGAGAACTGCTAAACCAACAAACCAGACCCCCAAACCAGCACACTGCTTTCTGACCTTATTTTTGTTGTTGTTGAAACTCAGTGGCTCCCATACATAACTACCTTTTGAGAAAAAAGCATAAGCACACTTTCCCTTAAAAGAAAACTTCATACATAATTTAAACAGTCTGACTTTAAAAACACTTCATCAATTTTTAAAGACAGCTTTCAGGGGCAGCACTTGAGTTCTCAGCCTATTTTAGCTCCTTCTGTACCAACAACTTAGGACATCCCTTAGGCAAGTGACCCAGTACTCAGGATTCTATGACTTCCTGCTTTCAATATTTGTTGACCGGTTTTTGTTGGTTTTTTTTTTTTGGTTAACAGCTAACCTTATGTTACATGGGATATTTTGTACTTTTCTTCTCTGGAAATGGATGAGATAACAACATAAAGTGACATGGCCTATTTTTTCTCTGGTTGTAATTCCACAGAGGTTTAGGAAGCAGAAAGCCTGTTAAAAAAATCCGTATGGGCAGATAATACTAAGGGATTTCCAGTGAGCAAAATGAAATAATCTCAACTCATTTGGGTTAGCAGAATCAGTGAACTGGTCAAGACCATTAACTTGGCATGTTACCAGTTCCATTTCAGCACCAGATGGAAACATACATATTTGAGGAGAGCATGAAGCAAGGTAACTGATGCAACTCTTTAGATACTAACTACAGCTCACCAATGCAAAGTAGGGTTTACATGAGCACAGCCAGATAGGCTTTTCAATGGAGTGAATCTGTATGAAAATCAGGGAGAAAAAGAACTGAAGTTTTTAATATAACCAACCTGGGCTAACACTGTGATAAAGTTGCGATTTAAATGAACAGCTTCGTAAAGTGCCAGAAGGATGGCCTCATTGGTTCTAAAGAAAAAGAAAGCAAATTGGAGTCTCTTATAATGAAGAAGGTAGAAGAAGGTAAAAGAGTATAATCATCAAGATAAGATTTCACCCCAACTCCTCATTATAAATCCCTTTGAGTTTCTAATGCTCCATTATTTCCTTTTTGGGCTTATATAAAGGAAATACAGTCAGCACTTTAATTCCTTAGATCTGTTCTTACCTACTTCACTATTTCCCCCTTTCACTTTTTCACCCCAATGCAGTTAAGTTATTAACTGGCTCAGACACCAAGCCCTCTTTATTTCCTTTCAGAGATAGCTGGGAACAGTTTTGTAACTTCTTAGAGCTCAATACATGCAAGTTCCATTATTATTTAAAACTCAAGAAACATTTGACAGATTATCAAGAAAGCCTGAATCTGCAGAGATAAAGTTTCACACTTTCATATCCAGTAAGAGAGTCCACACTGAAGTTCAAGTCACCGCACAAGAATGTCAGGCACTTACTGTACTGAGATTTTCTCATGGGCATCTGCTATGAACATGCTGCCCACCTGTGGAAGAAAAGGGGAATTGCAGAGTTATAGCAGGGAAATGTGAGAGGAGCTCTGGGCCCTACAAAGCCTTTAATCAGTGAAAAAAACAAACTGCAGCATGAGGGAACCCTGGCCCACCAGTCACACACAACAAAACCAGCTCACTTTGAAGATCTTAAAAGAATCATAAGTCATGAAACTCCCCTAAACTGTCTTTGCTTAAAGGGACTTAAAAAAAACCATCCCAGTACTTTTGTCCAGGTCTCCTATGTGTTAGTTCAGTAACCACTGACAACAAGTAAATGATAACTTAAACATCCTCATCACTTTGCCTCTGTCCTGGAAGCTGCTTATCTGAAACAAACTAACTCATAAAAAGCATTACAGAAAGCAGGCTGTTCATCCAGCACAGAGTCGTCTTTGGGGGAATATTTGGGTTTCAGACCAGAACTATTAAATCAACGGTCAGCAACCTTTTTAGCATCAGGGCCTAGTTTCGTGGAAGACAATTTTTCCATAGACCAGGGGATAGGGGGATGATTTCAGGATGATTCAAGTGCATTACATTTATTGTGCACATTTCTATTATTAATGTATCAGCTCCACCTCAGATCATTAGTTATTAGATCCCAGAAGCTGGGGACCCCTAATCTAAATGAAACCTACTATACATCTTTCACATCATGAAATCTTTTGTTTGTGTCCTAGGCAGGACAGTTGAATAAGCAAATGGAATAGGTTGCCTCCAATATATGAGATGTCAGAGGCAGAGACAGATGCCCATCCTTCTAAAATTGCCTTTTCCACCTATTTATTGATGCCCAAATCCATGCAGCCGGAGCTCCATTTATTTGGTACAAAACTTTTTCTTCTTGGCTAAAAGGCAAAGGTCCCTGGAAGCAATATGATTATATCTAATGCATCTAATCAAATACTGATACAGCCCTCACATTGTTTTGACATCTGAGGGACTACCCATTTGTGCTTCAGAATTAAAGAGCTTATCATTTCCTTTCCTTGAAAGTAGGTTCTGAGAATGAAAAAGGCAGGTTGCAGGGGGAAAGTTACCTTTTGGGTGGTGGGGGTGGGGCGGGGCCTGTTGTTCCTTACAATGAACTCAAAATCTGTCTTGCCCTAGGGCTGATTACTTGAATACTAATACCCAAGAACACAGACTTTCTGAATCTGTCTAAATTCTGAGACCTTAGATTTACCTCTTAAAAATTAGCCCCAGATTATCTGGCCTAAAATACCTACCATGCTAAGGTTGAGATACCTTGCTCAAGAGTCTTGCAAACTGAACCAGTAATTTTCCCAAACCTTGGAGCCCTCAGCCCAGATCCTAAACCTTTAAGATGAGTGGTTCGGATCACTGCACCAATCCCTCAACTCCAGGACCAGCTACAAATGATGAAGGGGTCACAGCAGACAGCCAAGGACCGCTTATGCTTGGATTCAGATCTAAACCCTCTCTGCTGTGTTCCATACCTGTCCTCAAACAGAGCCAACTGTCTTTTTTTTTTTTCTGGTTCTTTTTTTTTCAGAGCCAGTTCTTCAGGAAGCAAAAGTCTGGCTTAATATGAACCTTTCTTTTTTTTTTGTAGCCTTAAAAAAATTGAATTAATTTGGGGAAAAAAAAACAACCCAGCCCCAGAGAAATCAGAGCTCTTCTTTGCCCTGCCTCACTTGGGTTTGGAAATCACTAGAAGAGATATAGCTCTCCAAAAAATCTGCTATGAGCAGCCTCTCTCCCCTAATCATCATTATCTCAAATATCTAAACTTCTGAGTCCAGACTTGTCTACCCCATAAGATCTCATATATTTTTGAACAGGGGAAAGAAAAAAAAAGACAAGTAGGACTTACCATATTTGTTAAAGCAGAGAAAAAACCGCTCTGGTGTTCTTCTTCCTTGTCTTTATACTGCCTGAACAAAAATAACTAAATTCAACTTTAGTGTTATTTATCACATATGTCTTTGTCCTTGGCATACTAGGTAATCAGGGCAGCTCACTGGCAGAATTTCACTGACTCCAGAAAACAAAACCGTTCTAACTACTGAGCCTCTGCAGTTTGCCTTGCAAGCTAAGAGGCACCCATCTGCTCTTGAGGTAGCGTATACCAAAATGCCCAGCTACTTCAGGAGAGACTTAGAAAGCAAGCTGCAAAAGTGTGAAATGCTCTAACATATGGCTGATCCAGTTATTTCCCAAACAGACTATTACTTGAAAAGTGTGACAGTAAAATTAAGGCTGTAACAGTGAAAATCTTGTTTGTTTTTGAAGGAAAAGGAGGGGAATCTGTGAGCTCAACTATTTGTGGAGATGGGACAGATTTGAAATTCCCAATTGTACATGAGGAAAGTCTGGAAAGGAGTAAGAAAGATCCTGCCTGGCCCTTGCCAGGATTAGATACAATTCTGGTTTCCATTCAATGAACACCAAATCCTCCCTATCCGCAGCAAGGGTAGGGGGAAAGCAAGCATCGAAGAAAAGAGCCCCCAGATAGACAGGACTCTGAGAAACTGCAGTTGATTACTGATAAAAAAGAAATATCTGTCAAATGAGAACTCAGCGCTATCTCTTTTCTTCCTTTTTATAAGCATACAAAAAAAAAGCAGCACTTCACAACCTTTTTTTACATAGAAATGGTATTTAAATGATACATTGAGCTAAATGGAATAGCCTGCCTGTGGCTGGAAAATTTGTTAAAATGCTCTGAAATAAAATGTCAAAGGTTGCAAAAGAATGTTTAATGTTAAGAGTTGCTTAAACAAAAGATGGACACTAATGTGGTGGCTACTTTTCTCCTAGTGTTAGAAGCAACCCATGCTAAAGCCATCAAGTCAAGCTAGAGCAAATGCATCTGCCAGCAGCTATACCTCTGAATACTCTTCTAGGATAGGTAAGGGATGTTCACCCAAGAACTCTTTTAACAAACCTGTACCTGACTCAACCAGTTCAAATGAAACTGAATTCAGATGGACTTACCTGTTGTACTCAGATAAAGCTTGAGCAATCACAAGCCCCATTCCCTAGAGAGAGAAAAGACAGCACAGGTGAAATAAGGGCCTGGTGGTGATGCTATGACTAGACTACGGACAACACTAATGACGGTCCAAACCCAGCAAGTTTTACCTGAAAGTAGGCAACAAGGACAGAAATTCTGAGAGACTTGTCAATGGATGAAAAGGAACTTCTCTGGAAAGATTTTTCTGATCTAATTACATTACTTAATGTTTCTAGATATAATTAAAATAGAATAGCAAGAGTTGAAACAGACCAGCCCAGACTACCAACAATTTCACTGGGGTCATTTTCACCTCAAAAGAGAAGACTAAGTTAGAATCTTTAAACAAAAAGCTCTCAGATGTCTCTAAAAACAACCCACAATAAAAGTGACAACGAGTCCCACCTTAAATGAAGGTACATACAGACAAGCCACTCTCTTTCAGACCACAGGAAAACAGTAGTGTAACAGAAAGAAGCATCCAATAAATATTAAAGTAACTTATCAACCTTCCCCCTAGAACCTGCTAAGCCTATCACAAAGATCAATTAAGGCCATAAGAATGAATCATGTGTGCTTTTTTTTTTTCCTTCATATGAGAAATTAGAACAAAGAGGGCAGACAGAAAGAGAATAAAACCAGACACCTGGTCATCTTCTTCCTCCCTATATTGAGGGATCAAGTTTTATTTTCCAAACCTCCAAGGATATATGTACCAGATATTACATCCTCCTCCACAGTTCAGCTTCACCAAGGCAGGCTATAAATATAATCTGACTAGTTCCACAAGAAATCTCCCAACATTTAGTCATCTAAGCCTTTTTTTAAAATTTCAGTTTTATTGAGGTATAACTGTAAGATATTTAAAGTGATCTGACATACCATCTAAATCTTACTTAGAAATGTCACTTCTTGACTCTGTAGGATAATCAAGCTCAGCATACTAGAACATGAAGTATAACTGACCATTTCATCATAATTAGCAAGCAAATATCCTCTCAAACCTTCTTTCCATGAGAAAATAGAAAACCATAGATAGTAGCACAATGCTCTAAAAAGAAATATCTATTCCCTCTTTATAGCTAGATGAAATTAACACAATAGTTTCCTACTCTCTGTTCTAAATATCCAGTTAAAGTAAGGCCAACAAAGGCAAGTAATTAAAACACAAGAATCCAGATACTCACATTGAGGGTGGCTTCATCATCCACAATAGACAGCTTCACAATATAAGGATTCACAGACTATTAAACAAAAGAAGAGACTGCAGGTGAGTGTGACCTAGTTAAGAACCCATTAGTTATTTAACAAAGTGTTAACAAAAATCCTTCCAAGACACTCTCTCTATAGTGATATTCCTAATACCTATGCCTAACTATCTTGCCAGTTGACTTCCTCCATTTCCAGTAAATCTCTCTGTGCATGGGCATTCACCAAGCACGCAGAGACAGACAGACACACACACATCCCAAGCAAGCATGTGTACGTTTACATGCACTCACACACACACAATTCTCTTCTACCTGCATTTTCCTCTAGGCTGAATCAGCTCAGGCCTTTGCCTCTTCTCTCATGTTTCCCTCTTCTTTCTAGAAGTAAGTGAACACTCCACAACACTCACTTTGTCCTATCCTGACAATAATTTACTGAGTCCATAGGGACAGCTGTCATTTGAGGGACATAAAAGCTCCCCTGACGTAAGGCACAAATGTGTAAGTTGCTAACTTACACTCTCATTCCAAAGGCTCCCTAACCATTCCAAAAACTATATCCAAGGACTGATTCACCCACCCGTAAAACAAAGCCACCTTGGGGGTGGAAAGTGGCAGCTGTTTAACAGCCAGACAGGCCATTTATGGATCCAATACCCAAATAACACTGCAGGGGAACTGAAAAGAAAGATGTAATTACCCAAACTACAATCTGGTCAGGACACTGGGATTTAATGATTGTCCCATCACTTAAAGCAATGGAAGATTTCTTGAGTTTTTCCAGATTCAATCTCAGCTGGGTAGCATATGGAAATGGACATATATTTAAACTCATTAAGCAACTGGGCCATCTCCTACCGATGGGATGAGAACCAACAACCTGCTCACCTTGAAAACATCCCCCACGTGGTATGTAAGGAAAGACCCTCTACAGCTCAGGCATGAATTCTAACCCAAGAGAAGTCAGAACAATAGTTCTTAGATTAACAGCTTTTACAGCAACCAAGAAAACACATCATTGAGAAACTTGGAAATACAGCTAAAAGGCTAACCCCCATCTCCTCAGACTTTATTAACCAAGTTCCTGAGGTCATCTTTCTAATGTCAGTCGGGAATAGAGAAAGAGAAGCTTTGCTATTTTTAACAGCCAAATGTTTATAAGGTTTTCTACAACCCAATTCAAGGAGGTAAAACCCACTCCATTCATTACTTGACCTAACAGATAAAGGCTCTCAACGCTTCTTCCTCTAACAACAATACTGATGCAACAGACTTCAGATAAGATCCAAAGCAAGCTGATCCTTGGAAATGAAAATCAGCAGTGGGCTGACCTGGAGAGGCCATCACGATGAGATCTACAGTAGAAGAAGCAGGCCACTGTCTCTTAGCACAATTTCTGAAACTCCTACTTACTCACCTTCCCAAAAGTAGACTGTCTCAGGTACTAATAAGGACCACCTGATTACCAAGAACAACCACTGCATTAGCAACTGTTGAGGAAAAGGGGTAAGGTGGCTAAAATCAAAGGTTTAAGTTCCAGCTCCTCCACTTATTAATTGTGACCAGGTAGGCACGTTAATAAACCTAAGCTCAATTTTCTTCACCTGTAAAGTGGGGAATAATATTTCTTTCCTTGGGGCTGCTATGAAATTTAAATCAAGTTAAATCCTCAGCACAGTATCTGGCATATAATAAGGGCTCAATTATTGGTAGTTATATTTTTTTCTCCTGACATTTTTATAACATTCAAAACAAGCTCTATAAGGAAAAAAGAGAAAGAACAACTCAAAACCAGACATAATAAACAATTTTGTAATACCTAGGAAACATCATGTTCAGGGCAGCAGTTGGGGGCTGAGTCACTTCATTTCAGAAGACTTAGCCAACCCAGAAGGCCAAGATCTTAAAGCTGTGAAAATGTCTATCCCAGCAGACACTGATTTTCCTTAACACTACCTATTCTGCTGGTCATGTTTTAAAACTCAAGACAATCTACTTTTCATCAGCAAGTGAGAATTACAAACTTCACAGAATCACTCTAGTAGAGTCCAGCATTTATTTGATCTAAACCATACTTAACAAATTTCATTGCGCTTCCCTAGATCTCCCCCCTCCCCCCCGCCCCCGGCATCTTGTAATCTCTTGAGATTAAATGACTAAAATGAAGTGAGGAAGAACTACTTTCATTCCTTAAGTTCAAGACCTAATTTGCCTTCTCTGTGTTTAGCTGGACACGGAGCCTCTCTGGCACCCTCTGCACCTTTCTGGAAAGGTTACAACTTACCCCATTGGTCATGGGACCAAATGTGGTGGTAACTAAAATGTTGTTCTCCCAAGCACACCCTCTTGTATTTTGCATAAAACTTCAGCTTTCGGTTTTGCTGTGTTCATCTAGAATTTCCTCACACTCCTGTCAAAAACGTTCCTGCTCCATGGTCACCAGGTTTCCTTAATGGTTTCTGGTGAGTGACTTATATCAAAAGCTGCAAAGCCCAGATAAATTATGCCTACCAGCTTGCCCTCGCCTACTATATTAATTCTTCTGGGGTTTCTGACAGACCAGAGATGCATACCTCACTCTAGAAATATGATTTTCTCCAGCTCCACGGCCATGTCCAATTTTTCAGGCTGACATTTCAGAAAGTCTTACTGGGCTGAACCAGGGTTCTGTTCACATTCAGAGAAGCCAAGCCACTGTCTCAGAGTGGCCTGCATCCAGCAGAATGTTCTGAAAATATTCATTACTGATGATGGGGCTTTAATATCACACATAACTCAACTCTCTTTAACTACCTTCAGCATTTTTTCTCAGCTATTTTTCTTGCTGTTGTAATAAGGCCCCAGAGGCAATTACACATGACAGAGATCAAAATGGCTACCATGCTGGCCCTTCCAGATCACGAGCAAAACAGGTGTTGGTGATAAATTACTTATTTATTAGTAGCTCCGTACACCATTCATCAGTTCCTCTGAGACAAAGAAAACAATCAGTTCCTGGGGTTTATAACACATTAACACTGCTCCATATTCCAGCCCCTCTTTAAGTACTCCTTTCTCACAGAATCCTTTCTTTCATATCCCTCTTTGTAAGAATAAGCTCCATATTTTATGTTACCCATCACTTTTAACATGGCTACTAATCATATAAAAAATCACTAAGTGAAAATCTAAAAGCTCAAAAATGAAAATACTCCCTCCAATTGGCCCATCTGTCATAGTATTGAAAGAAAGTAAAAGTGAAGTTGCTCAGTCATGTCCGATTCTTTGTGACTCCATGGACTGTAGCCCACCAGGCTCCCCCATCCCTGGGATTCTCCAGACAAGAATACTGGAATGGGTTGCCATTTCCTTCTCCAGGGCATCTTCCCCACCCAGGGATCCAACCCAGGTCTCCCACATTGAAGGCAGACGCTTTACCTTCTCAGCCACCAGGGAATGAGAATGTCATAGTATTAAATAAAGAAAGTCAAGTTGCCTCAGTGTAGCTTCTGATTTCTGGCTTCAGTAAAGCAGTCCTAGTGTCCAGGACCCAGTACCAAGTACTCCCTACAAAGCAACCCCCAATGAGGTTCTGGCCTTCCCTAAGTGGTCCCCTTTCTTTTCAGTGTATTCTACCTTTTGAGGAGAATCAAGTAGATGACCAACCCAAGTATAAATCTTTGAGTTCAGCTCTTTATCTCAAAACTTGTAAATCTGTCCCTAATTCAAAAGGAAAAAAAAGAACTCCAGAATTAATATGGATAACGCTCTGTCTTCAACTTCCATCAAAATCAAAAAAAGTCCCCAGACCAACAGTGATATTTATACAAGTCAACTGAGTACATTATGGAAAACTAATATATAAGTTGAATGTTTCAAAACAGATGCATTAGGTCAGTGGTTCGCAATCCCCTGAGCATCACACTGAATAGGAGATCTTTCAAAAAAGATAACCAGGTACCATCCCCTAAGAGATTCTGATTTGGTGTGCAAAGAGTAAGGCCCTGGGACTCCCCTGGTGGACCAGTGGTTAAGACTCCGCACTTCCACTGGGTGGAGGCATGGGTTTGATCCTTGGTTGGGGAACTAAGATCCTGCATGCCATATAGTATGGCTAAACAAATAAACAAAGAGTATGACCCAGAAACATCTTCTTTTTAAAAAAAATTCCTGGCGATTCTAATGATAGGCTGGGTTTGGGAACCACTACATTAAGAAAGATTTACTCACTTTATTAGAAGTTACACCACAGGATTCCTTTAAACAGCTATAACCTCCACCCTAGGAGTCTAACATAGGACTTTTAGGATTTAATTTATCAAAATTAATCTATATACCATTTACCAAGAAAATGTCTTCTACATTAAACAAAATTACTAGGAGTGGTCACATTTAGGAAGATTATAGAAAAACAGCAGCTGTCCATTAAGAGACTCACTTACCTCATATTTTCTGTAGTTCACTAGCAAAGCCAAGAGGACAACAGCATCATACCCATGTTCCCTACGACTCGGCGGGTGGGAGAGTATCTGTAACCAGAACCACCAACAGTGAGAGTGCTTGCAGAGGCAATTTATCCAAAAAAGAAAAAGGGAACAAGGGAACTGACCTACCTGTAAAATTGCTTCAAATATGCTGTTGATCATTACATATTCCAAGATAGTGTTCTGGCTGATGTTATCTGTCACCTGAATACAATAGAAGGCTATTTAAAATCTATACTAAGACACTGATATCTCAGGTATATCTCCTCACCTAGTATCTAACACAAACAGAAATATTAAAACATTCTACCAAATACTTAGTAGATCTTTCATAAGCATCCCCAAAGCCACCAGAGCCTGAAGAGATAAGACACTAGAAGGGTAACAAATGAGCAAATTAAAACTTCCTAAATTTTTGACCTTCTCATTGTTTCTCTTATACCCTCACAAAGCATTTGCCTAAGTTTCTTGGGTTTCATTCCCCAAATGCACAGGAAGTACTTTATGATCCACAAGTCTTCAAGAGATTGCAGGGAAAGGAAACCACCTAAAATTAAAGAATAACATCCTAGAAGGTACAATCCAGCTTCCAGGTATAAAATCAAGGTCAGAACAAATAAAAATATTCAGAATCACAAAAAGTATTTCCAAATGAGACCTGATGAGAAGGTCAAAATCTGACAATACAGAAGAGAGCACTTCTCCAGGACTGGTACAAGTTAAAAACGTCATCAGTTTCTCCAACGAGCAACTTTTAGGAAGCAGAAGTCCATACAACAAACTTCCTTCTACACAAACACAGCAGAGTGATGTAAAGGCCCAGTAAAGATTTTTCTCTTTTCCTTTCAAACTTTGGCCTCAAGATTTCAAATTTGCCCCTGTTGTCAATTCACACCCTTGACAAAGAAACATGTAGATGGGTCACTTACTGTCACTAAGCAGAGGAGAAGTTTCAGACATAAGCTCTTCAGACTTTCAGAACCTTCTGCACAGAGCAATGAATCCAAACTCTCCATGAGATTCTGAGAAAGAGACCCATTAAGTATTAAACCATAACAAATAACACTTCCACCGTGTCTTTCCCATACTCTGGGTTATGTTACGCAGGGTAAAGTAAGTGAGAAACATTAAATGAAGCAACCATATCGTTGCCTGAGGCCTAGGCCTTGCACGATTAGATGAAGAAAAGGAAGACTTCTAAGTCTAGTATTTTTAGGAAAAAGCTTTAGGACAACTGCAAAGAATAACAAAGAATTCACTATTCTACCAAATGAATGCTTGCAGCCTATCACCCTCATATAAACCTTTAGTTAAGAATGAAGTAAATTTTTCAAAGATAAATAATGATTAAATAATATATCTACAAACTAAAAACAATAAGTAATAACCTAAGTAAAATTAAATTCTATTAAATAAATTTTAAAAAATAAATGATTAAGTTAAAGGTTAATAAAAATAGTTAAATAAGTAAGCATGTTTCATTATTTGATAAATAAAGCGTATCACGTGATGCAGGCACACTGAACAAATAACAAAAAGATAACATCACTACTAGCTATTCACTGGCCACGTGCACTATCCAACAAAGTTGGCCCATATTCATCCTGGTCAAGTCTACTAAACAAAATGATCAGAGCTTATCACCTGTACTAACAATCAGCTGTCATACCAAATATAGTCAAAAGATGAAACCCTTAGATACTACAAAAGAAAGAAGAAAAAAAGAAATTTTTTCATTAAATAAAGGAGGAAAATGGAGAATACAGATTTAGCATGCTGGAAGGTTGAGTGAATATTCAAAATAAGCTACTTCAATTCAACAAATATGTAGATTCTATGTGCCAAATTTCATGTTTTCAAAGAAAATTTAAAAATAAGACAACGACCTTTGCTCTCAAGGCGTTTTTAGTCTACCAGGAGAGAAAAATAAGTAAACAGCTTTAACTTAATGATTACTATGACAGAAATACATATGGAGGAAAGGAATTAGCTGTGATGTTACCTATTCCAGGACTCCTAAGGGACAGGTTGTACTTTGAAAAATCAGTAGGAATTAATTAAAACTTCAGAAGGAAAGGAATTCTAGACAGACATCAGCATGATCAAAAACACACAAGGAATGAAAACAGTCCTGGGTGTGCAGCTGGAATACAAGCAGTTTGTTATTATGGAAAGGTGAGGCATAGTGATGAGAGATGCAATTTGAGAAATAAATAGAAAGAAGATCACAAAAGTTATATAAGGCTAATAAGGAAGTTTGGTCTTTATCCTTTCAGTGACAGGAAACTAATGAAGGGTTTTAACCAAGATTTGAGTGTTAAGATACATCACTCTGGTGTCAGTGTGGATAACAGATTTAATGTTAGGTCTGGAGGAAGGGAGAAAAATGAAGACTAACCTATCAGTTTTCTGAGGATGGTTGCCATGTCTGATTTGCCTCTGTATCCCCAGTGCCTAGCACATAGGAGCCTAATAAACGTTTGTCAAAAGAATGAAGTCAGGGAATTTCCTGGCAGTCCAGTGGTTAAGACTCCACACTTCCAATGCAGGAGACAAGGGTTCAATCCCTAAACAAGGAACTAAGATCCCACATGCCATGCAGTATGGCCAAAAAAATTAAAAAAAAAAAAAAAAAAGACTCCAGGTACTAAATCTTTGTGCACTCCTAATTGCGTATTTGTAACTTTTAAAAAATAACCTATTCACTATAAGGATTCTTTTGCATGTGCTGTGCTGTGCTTAGTCGCTCAGTCGTGTCCGACTGACTCTTTGTGACACCATGGACTGTAGTCCGCCAGGCTCCTCCATCCATGGGGATTCTCCAGGCAAGAACACTAGAGTGGGTTGCCAAGCCCTCCTCCAGGGGATCTTCCCAATCCAGGGATCAAACCCAGGTCTTCCGGGTTGCAGGTGGATTCTTTACCATCTGAGCCACTAAGGAAGCCCATTCTTCGGCACAGAGATTTCTTTATTTTAAATTTAGTAAATGAGAAAATACGAGTTCTTCAAAGTTCATATTATGAACAACATTCACTGAAGATAGTGACAGTACTATAAATCAGGTATCTGATATGGGATCTGTACCCAAAATAGGTAAAGAACTCTTACAACTCAACAATTAAAAGACAAATAATTCAACCTACAAATGGGAAAAGAATTTGAATAGACATTTCACACACACACAAACACACACACACACACATACATACTGCTGGGGAAAATGTAAAATGGTATCGCCATTTTGGTAAATAGTTTGGAATCTCCTCAAAATGTTAATCATAGAATTACCATATGATCCAGCAATTCTACTCCTAGGTATATACCTAAGAGGATTAAAAACATATGTCCACATTTACAAGCACTGCATAGCAGCATTATTTATAACAGCCAAAATGCTGAAACATCTCAAATGTCTATCAACCGATGAATGGATAAGTAAAATAATATGATACATTCATACAGTAGAATACTAAGCAGCCAAAAAAAGGAATGAAGTACAAGGTACAACATCGATGAACCTTGAAAACATTATGCTGAGTGCAAGAAGCCAGACACAAAAGACTACATATGATATGATTCCATTTACATGAGAAGTACAGTAGAGGTGAACCTACAGAGATATAAAACATATTAATGGTTGCCAGAAGCTGGAGAGAAGAAGAAATAGGGAATGACTGATAATGGCACATGTTTTCTTTTTGGGGTGATGAAAATGTTCTGAATTAACAGTAGTGATGGTTGTGCAGCTGCATGAATATACTAAAAACTACTGGTTATACACCATAAAAGGATGAACTGTATATGTGAATTACATACTGATAATGCTATTTCTCAAAAAGCATCAAACAGTAGAAATGAGAATTCTGGTAAAATCAGTGTTAAATAAGAAAACTTAAAAGTTTAGAACTAAAATATACTTGTGTATTAATTTGTTACCTTCTATTTAAATTCTTACATGCTTTTAAGAATGTATGGTCATGATGTAAATCACAAGTTTCTCAGTCTTTATCCTACAGGGAAAAGATGCCTCAATACAAATCTGAATTTCAAATTTTCCTTTATTAAAGGATAAACCAAATCTGTAAAAATATCCAAATTCAAGGCCAATTCAATCATTTATGTCTATCTGAGTTAGATGACTAGAACATCTAACTGTCTGCAGATGGTATTCCTCAACAGCTGTCAGAAGCAGACACCCACAGGCACATCTGCAGCTTATGCCTCACCTTCATGCACAGCTCCGCCTTGTCAAAGCCCATCAGCATGTTGATAATGTCAAACCCAGAGGTAGGCTTATTCTTTTGATGGACTCCTCGAATGAGTGCACACAAGGTCTGCAGAGATGAGAGAAAGAATTCTTTCTAGAAAGAAAGTCTCAAAATGAAAAGGGCATTGGATCAGTAGCCTCACACTACAACCTCAGAACCTTCTCCTCCTATAGCTGACAATAAACTGCTCTATGCTCTGAGCTCCAGAATACAGTCGGGGTCTTAATATGTGCAAAATCTAGACATGAAAAGAGGAACAGCATCTGAAACTGTCATCTTTTTTATTCTTTTCTGGCCATCCTCTTTTTAAAAATTACACTGCAGACAAAGATTGGAAGGTGATATTCAAAAATAAGAAACTGTTTTTGAGCTTGAATCATAGGGTTGATAGACCTTGCCCTTATTTAAAATTAATTTTAGAATTTACAAAATAGTTTATCATCTTTAGTAATTATTTTTAATAACTATAGAAGACCCTGTATGATAACAACTGATCAATTTAAATCTTAAAAATTCATTACAATCCCCATCTACTACTTACTAACTGTGTGAGCCTGGACAAATCAGTTAACTTTTCAGTGCCTCATTTTTCTCATCTATACAATGGGATAATAATAGCATTAATCTCATAGGGATGATGTGAAGACTATGTGAATTAATACCGTACGGCACTTAGAATAGTCCTTGGAACTTTGTTAAAATTCCTGGACTAGCCTGGAACTTAACTTTGTTAAAGCTCAATAAATGTCAATTATTACAATAATGTACTATAATTCTATGGTTCACCAAGTGACTTAATGTCAATATATTTCCACTGAACTAAAAAGTTTACAATTCATGCCCCTAGAGCAAGTCACTGTAATTACAGGAAGTACAATTTCCAACTTTCATTTCAATTTGCAATGAAGAGGTCCCAACAACTGTGATGCTCAAAATGTAGAATCTACTGTCCAAAAGTTAAGAAAGATATAGAATAAACATTGTCCTTCTTTCTGGGGCATCAGCTCAAAAGGTAATTTCTACATTCTACAAGTGAGAAAACCGGAGCTCACAAAGTGATCTGTCCAACTTGTAAGTTAGAAACTTAAACCCAATCTACCAAAAATTCCAATAAAATTCTTTACACTGTCATGACTTCTTCATATTCTACGCTTGCCAATCACCACCCTAGGTACTCAGCTCAATCTAAGCTACACTGGAGCTACTAAACTATAAACTTTAGAAATTTTGGGAAAAAAAAAAAATTTTGCCCCTCACTCTTTCAAAATAATTTACTTCTAGAACACTACCTGCCAGGCACTTATCTACACACTAGGAACAAAATATTGAATAAAACCATCTTTACCCTCAAGAAGACTATAATGTATTCCACCAGCTCAATGTTAGGCATAACAGTAATTCAAGAAATAATTATTCATGAATCTTCCGCATGATAATGCCACTTAGCATTAAGAACAATGATTCTTAATGTTTTTAGAGTTACCGACCCTTTTGAGAATCTGATGAAAGCCCGCTCTCCAAAAAAATGTACATATACACATAATGTACATATACACATAAAATATTACATAAAACTACAGGGAGTCAAGGACCTTCTGAAACCTCAGAATAAGAACTCTTGATCTAGTGAGAAAATACTGTTTATATAAGAAAACACTATCTATTTAATTAAGAAAGTCTCATGATTTTTGCTGTAGACTAAGCACCCTTTCTGGAGTTTCTTCTCTATCTTTTACTTTCCTTCAAGTAATAATAAAAATTCTGTCAAACAATCCACCTTGGCAATAGATCAAATTATACAAATGGACAAGATTACTACTATAGATGTCCATTTGTTTAACTAGGAAGATAGCTAAATAAAACATAGCATAGACGTTTGGTTACTTAAAGAAATAAAGGGAAAAAAAGCCTCAAGCCTAAGGGTAATTTTAGATTCCTCAAGTTCCAATAGATGTATTACAGTTTATAAACAAGACTTTCCCATTCTCCCAGCCATGTACCTGCAATGCATTAACCACTCGAATTGGATGTTCCTCTCCCAGAGCCTGGATGCAGTGTTGAAATAAGCAATTAATATTGTCCTTGATCTTCATTAACTCCTCACCATCAAGAGATTCCAACTTGCCTTCTAGGTACTCTAAATTCACCTAACACGGAAACAATAAGGGCCTGAGTACATTTTTAGTGTAGCACCTAGAACACATGTGAAGGCAATGTCAGTTACCAGGAAAATCCACAGATGCCCTGAAGTCTTACCTTCATGAGGAAGAGCTCCTCCCAAAATCGAGGACTGCACTTACTAGGGTCCTCTGTCTGAAACCAGAAGATAAGTAGATTCAATATACCCAGCTAACACCAAAGCATTAAGAACACATTTGAAAGAGTCACTATATGCCTTTCATAGGGTCAATCTTACCTCTCACAATTAACTCTGAAAATGCTTGATCATTCCAAACAGCTGTAATGGGGAACAATTTGGGGGGGGGTTCCCCAAATGGAAGACATTGTGCATGGATATATATTCCCTGCACCAGAAGTTAAATGACTCAAAGAATCTCCCTCAAATCTTCCTCTTCTTAGCGAGAAGTGAAGAACCAGTTAGTCATATTCTGATACATCCCCACTGTACTTTTACGTGTGGTCAGTTTTCAAGCCCATTCACATACATGAAATACAACAGCCCAGTGAGCCAGGTAGGGTAAATATTATCACTATTCTCCTTTTAGGAAAGAGAGTCCAGAGAATTACACAAGATATGCAACTCCTTTTACAAGAGTAACATGTTTTACACATTTACATGTACTACTTATGACCAAGATTTCAGAAGTTAAATATATATATGCAGGGTATTTAATTACTCTAAACTTCCATGAAGGGGTATATTTTACAACACTGGCCTGGACCACGGTCAATACACAGTTCTGAAGACCCAAAGAAATCCCCGATCTAATTGCTAATAATTCCTTAGTCATCTCATAGTGTTGAAGGATGAGACAAGCTAACTAAGAAATTGTTCTATCCACTAACAACTTGAGTCAGAATGTAACAGTGCATCTTTTTAAAATATCTGGACCAAAAAAACAAACAAAAAACAACAACAAAAAAAACAAAAAACAAAAAAAAATATCTGGACCATAGAATTCTAGGGCCAAAGGGAACTTCTAAGGACATCTAGGATAGAAAGGTCCTTAAGTCAAATCATAAGGAAGACAACTCCTAAATATATTCAGAAAGAGCAATCCTCTTTTAATTGTTTTACCCAGCTAGAGGCAACAATCTATAAGAACAACATAATAACAATCTATGTTAATTAACACATGATCATAATTTCTACTATGAGAGAGCTTACTCTCACCCTTGTTCTCTTTTTCCCTCTGAAGAACTAGAAAGTAGCAGGCAGAGGTGAGGTTAATTCTCATTTTGGAACAAGAAACTGAGTCAAGCTGTGAAAAATGTCAGAGCTCCAGGCCTTACCATGAAGATCTCATCATACATCAGCACCACTTTTTCCTTCAGTGGTTTTTTGGAGGCTGAAGATTTCCGGAGCAAACCCCCTCGTTTCTCTACCTGTGCCATGGTGAGAGAATCTGTGAAAGAAAGCCACAGTTGGTGCTAGAAATGCTAAGATGTTGGAGAGAGTATTGAAATACCTCTCGATGGGAAATTTTTAAGGAAGAAGAAATGATAAATAGCCATGGTATAGATTTTGTGCATTTGTCCAACATCCCCTCCTCTGACCAGGTAATTTCAAGGTTTAAATCATAACTTGGTCTACAGCAAAACACATTTTACATCCTTAAAACATGCCAGTGGACAAGACTTAAAGAAGATCCAAAACCAAGCAGGAAAGTGTAACTAGCTCCATCTGCAATAGGTCTGGTCATATATTTGAGGTTGATGGAGGAAAGGCTGCGAAGCACACACTGCCCACAGATTGATGGTGAAGTTAAATTTCAAGTATTGATCGAGCTTAGGACCATTAAGGCAGGAAGTGTACTGCAGACTGATGTACTCCATTGATTTCCCCAAAGTAAGTAGGTCCTCCTCACTGCAAAGTACTTGGCCTTCACTGTCATATAAATCACTCTGGACTTGACTGCCTTCAGAAATTCCTCTGCAAAGAAACCCAAGGAAGAAAACAGTAGTTAAAAGACCAAAAATTAATCTAAAAATAACCAAATATAACTCCCTTTAAATTTAATTATATGTACACATATATATAACTTCAGTGTATTTTTTAATTCTCTATAAAAGCAGTTCCACAAATCATGCCCAAATTTTCCCATCTTGCTTCAAGGAATCCTCAATTTTTTCCAAGTGAGAACTTGAAATGCCACAGGTCTCCACATGGATTTACACATTCTCTCACTTCCCCAACTTTTTCTTCTGTTGACAAAATTCCTCTCTTTCCCTTAAATCTTAGGCTTTAGTTGTGAAACTTAATTTTATCCAATGGCAAGTATGGATGGTAGTAAGGAGACTGATTTCACTTTCAGACGAATCCAAAGCAGCAGAAAACTAATCTTGCTCAATGACATTTGGAAAATATACACTATGTTTCAAATCAAAATCAAAACTTCAATAAAGAGATGAATCCAACAGCATAAAAGACTCTGTCTCAGATATCATCTTTCTCTAATACGTATAGCCCCAAAGGAGATGCATTTTTGAGCTCTAAAAGCACAGAAAATTTCCTCACTGGATGTTATGCATCCTTAGCACAGGGACTGTATCTTATACCTTTTTCATAAGCACTTGTTCGCAGTAAATGCTCAGTATATGCCTGTCACTGAGAAGTCCTACGTCTAACCTAAAATTTTAGTTAGACCTATCTCTATCAAAGCCTCACTAAAGACCTCTTACTCCTTTATGATCCAGGAAAACAGAAGGAAAAAATAACAACAACAAAAAAAGAGAAGATTCTTTCAGGCAATTTACACTGTATTGATCATCGCTTTGCCTTAAAGGCTCCATTCAAAACATTCCTGTGTCTTTTAAATAGGTTGTCAAGAGGAAGATGTCCTTATCGGGGGAAAATAAATTGGAAATCAAGAGGATCCTATTAAAATAAATCAAAAGCAATGCAATTCTAAGCTTAGTGGATATAGATCTTTCATGTGCTCAGCTTCAACCAGTTGATTAACAGGAATAGTGGGAACCAAAGTCCCTGGATGTGAAAAGCACATGTTTACAAACATCTCCTTCTGAGGATTTATAATTAGGTTACAGCTAATCAATGACCACCCCAAATCTAATAAACTCACTTTCTCTATTTCGGAATCAATACTTTCTAATAAGCAAAAGGGAACAGGAGAGGAAGGAAAAACAATTTCAACCAAAAGTACCAAATTTCCTAAGAAATTAAATTATTTTCATCACTCTCCTTCCATCTGGAGCAGGGGTAAATTCAACAAAGGGCCTCAACTCATTATTCTCTGTCATCATCACAGGCACCTGGAATTTACCACCCAAGCTGTCTGAAGTGTGACTAGAAACTGACAACATAAAAGTCCCCTCCTTTTGCCAGCACTTCTACCCAGTGAGCACAACAAAGAAGGGTATTTCTAGAATGCAGACTAGAAGAAGTGTAGAACTCTTAAAAAAGTCTTTCTGTGAAGACTGTGCTCCCAAATTTGAAAGTAAAATATTTGACTGGTAGAGCAGTAAATTGCAGTACATCAGTAATATAAGTGTAATCTGTTTATATCCTCCCAGTGTTTCTTTCCTCTTTCACAATCCTCACCTATTGTAGAGAGAACCAGCAGCAGCTGAGCAGCAGCCAGACATAACGGAACAAACAGCCAACAGAACTGAGACTAGAACACAGCTCTCCCAAGCAACTAGATGACACTGAGTAAATCATTGTGCTTCTCAGTTTCCTTACAAGTAAAACTAGAGGACTGGACTAGACATATTATCTTATGAGTCTCTCAGCATCCCTGAAATACCACAAGCACAAAAGGAACACCTAAATACTGTAAAGCTCTAACTGAGGCACTAAGGAGTTAAAAAAGGAAACTCCAAACTGGATCCTCTAGCTCAAATCTATTAGCAGAGACAGGCACAGAACAACCCATGAAGTGTTAGTCGCTCAGTCCCATCCGACTCTTTGTGACCCCATGAACTGTGGCCCACGAGGCCCCTCTGCCCATGGAATTTTCAGACACCAATACTAGAGTGGGTTGCCATGCTCTTCTCCAGGGGATCTTCCTGATGGAGGGACTCAACCCAGGTCTCACATTGCAGGCAGATTCTTTAGCATCTGAGCCACCAGAACCCATGAAGAAGTGAAGTGAAGTGAAGTGAAGTCGCTCAGTCGAGTCGGACTCTGTGACCCCACGGACTGTAGCCTACCAGACTCCTCCGTCCGTGGGATTTTCCAAGCAAGAATACTGGAGTGGGTTGCCATTTCCTTCTCCAGAACCCACAGCACAAGGCAAATCATGAGAAAGTAATAAAGTACAAAGAAAATGCTGTGGACTACAAGGAAGAGAAAGAAGCATTCTATGACTACACTATAACTTCTGTTGGTCTGGGCTTTTAAATCCTTCTAGTGAAGGAGCAAATACAGCAAAGCCACAGCAATCCCACAGAAATGTCATCTTAGGCATGAACACAGTTTCTGAGAAACAAGATACAGTAGACAAAGTAATAAAAAATAATCAGGCAATTTTTCAATGCTAATTTCACCTACCACCAAACTTAGGAATGGCTTTAAATCCCCCAAACTCAATGGTAAATCAATGAAGTCTTTCATTCCTAAACCTCAGGAATTGCTGGTCCCATGACCTGCATACAACTTCTCTCTGAAAAACCCAAGTCATACAATAACAACTATATCTCAAAGCAATCCAGCTACAGACTTCTTAAATGCATGTCACTTCACACCCCTACAGCATAAAATAATTAAATATCAAGATTTTAAAACCTAAAGTCAAAAAATAAATAAATAAAACCTAAAGTCAAATACTTCCAGTGTTTCACAAGCAAGGAATGTTAGTTATACTTAACAAGTTACTCATTTATTTTATTGTCTTCTTAAGCACAATATATGCCAACTCTAGTATCAGAAAATTAATTTAATAGAAATTCACTCTGATTTCCAGAGTGATCAGTTAATCTATTAAAGTCTCGGTACTGTATCTACATGAGATGATGAAGGTTAAAAAACTAAATCTATTGAGGTAATCACAATATACATAAATCAAACCATCATGCTGTACACCTTAAACTTACACAGTAATATATGTCAATTATTTCTCAATAAAACTGGGAAAAATATCTAAAAAAGTCTTCGGTCTTAGTCCCAACTATTATACACTCATTCTATAAGTTTCCTTTCTCTTCCTGGCTTCAATTTTCCAATATGTGCTGGACCGCAAGAAGGCTGAGAGTCAAAAAATTGATGCCTTCGAATTGTGGTGCTGGAGAAGACTCTTGAAAAGTCTCTTGGCCTCAAGATCAAACCAGTCAATCTTAATCAACCCTGAATATTCATTGGAAGGACTAATGCTGAAGCTGAAGCCCCACTATTTTGGCTACCTGATGCAAAGAGCCAACTCACTGGAAAAGACCCTGATGCTGGAAAAGACTGAAGGAAGGAGAAGAGGGTGGCAGAAGATGAGATGCTTAGATAGCATCACCGACTCATGTGTGCCTGCATGCTCAGTTACTTAATGGTGTTCAACTCTTCACAACCCTATGGACTACAGCATGTCAGGCTCCTCTATCCATGGAACTTCCCAGGTAAGATTACTGGAGTGGGTTGCCATGCCCTTTTCTAGAGGATCTTCCAGACCCAGGAATAGAACCTGCATCTCATACATCTACCTGCACTGGCAGGCAGGTTCTTTACCACTAGCACCACCTGGGAAACCCAGCATCACTGACTCAATGGGCATGAATTAGAGCAAACTCTGGGAGACAGTGAAAGACAGGGAAGACTGGCATGCTACAGTACATGTGATCGCAAAGAGTTGGACATGATTTACTGACTGAACAACAAACAACAGCAGAAGCCATGGCAAGAATGTGCAAAAAAGGGAACCCTGTGCACCGCTGGTGGGGATGTAAATTGGTACAGCCACTACAGGAAATAGTATGGATGTTCCTCAAATACTAAAAATAAAACTACCATATGACCCAGCACTCCCACTTCCATATATATCTGAAGAAAATAAAGTCACCATCTTGAAGAGATGCACTCTCATGTTCACTGCAGCATTATTCACAATTAAAAAAACCATGGCAATAACCTAACTGTCCATCACTGGACAAATGGATAAAGAAAAGGTGGTATATACATACAGTGGAATATCATTCAGTCATAAAAAAAAGGAAATCTTGCCATTTGCAACAACACAGATGAATCTTGAGGGCAGTATGCTAAATGAAATGTCAGACAGATAAAGACAAATATTGTTTGTTGCATGTGGAATCGAAAAAACCAAAACAAATAGAAATTGAGTATATTAGACTGGTGGTTGCACAGGGGATGGGGAATGGGGCAAATGAGAGATGCTGGTCAAAGGGTACAAACTTCCAGTTATAAGACAAGTAAGTTCTGGGAATCTAAC